AGAGAGGTATGTGTATTTTCACTTGTACATAATTCTTTCCTGTTAGACCTCCCTGATTTTTAGTACTTTACTGTCATGTGAAATTGGCATTTGAACTCCAACAAAGCAGTTTGGTTTTCACTATCTGTACCATTTCATTAAAAGGTCAATTTTAGAGTGATAAATTCTCTGCAGGTTAGTGTGCTGGGCTTATGTGGCAAGGTTTTGTTAATGGGGGCTGCAGGAGTGGCAGAGCCCAGCAATGCCCCTGTGTCAGAGCAGCTCCCACAGGGACCCCCTGCTGGGCAGAGCTGAGCTATGAGCAACACTGTGTGCACCTCTGGGAGAGTAGATTGAAGGGAGGAGAAATCTGTGCAACAGCAGCTGGGAGACAGGAGTGAGAAATAGGAGAGAAGCAGCCCTGCAGCCCCAAAAGTCAGTGTAGAGGTTTTTCAGGCATGGAAAAGGTGTTCCCTGCAGCCTGGGAGAGGCTGCTGGTAGAGCAGGCTGTTCCCTGCAGCCCATGGGCACCATGCAGAGCAGATCTCCTCGTGCAGCCATGGAAGAGCCCATGGTGCAGCAGTGGATAAGCTTGAAGGAGGCACAGCCTACGGAGAGCCCCCAGAGGAGCAGCCCCAGGCAGAAGCTGCTGCCTGTGGATCATGTTTAGTTTGCTTTTGGCTCTCAGTGCTCTTAGTTTGTTGCCTTACTGCTCACTGCTACATTCATCTCCCTTATGCTGAGACTGTTGTGCCTGTGATGGTACATGATGAATGAACTCCCTGTCCTTATCACTCTGAGAGCATTCTTTCCATCATATTTTCTCCCTCTGTCCTGAGCAGGGGGAGTGCCAGAGCAGTGCTATTGGTGCTTAGTGCCCACTGTTGTTTATCCATCACAGCTGGAACGAGAGGAGGAGCAACAGGAGGGCTTTTAAAAAAGGGAAAAAAAATAAAAATTAAAATCAATGCCTTTACAGCTTGGCCATTTCTGCACAGTGCCCGTTTCTGTGTTGCGTGCAGCTTACAATATGATAGAGCTATGTGGATATTGACAGTGAAATGCTTTGTTTGTCCTGCAGGTGAGCTGGACTGCCAAGTCTGTGCCATGGTCAGAGGAGGATTAATAGGTGCTGTTGTGGGTGGTCTCTACCCTATTTTCATGGCTATCCCTGTGAACGGAAGCCTTGCAGCCAGGTATGTCTTATCAATCTGCAGTGAGTTACATTTGGTTATATTTCCAGCTCTCAGTTTAAACTGTGTGAATTTTTAGTCTGTGCACGCAGTATCCTCCTGGAGGCTTTTACTGCGTGAAAGGTGATTTGTACCAGTCATCTAATTACAGGGAAAAGCTGCTAAGAGGTATGCTCACAACCCTCCAAACAGGAAAAAAAGATCTACAAAACTGAACCAGAGTACTGTAAAACATTTGAGTTTAGCTTGGAACCTTGCACGCTATGCGTGATACATGTGGGCATTTTAAATTGAGGCTTCCCACACCTCAAAGTGGTGTTTGGCTGAGTAGCTGAATGTTTCTGAAGTGCTCAGTACCCAAACTCCCTGGCAGGTGTGATTGTACAGCATTTAACCACAGGGAGAACTCAGCACTTCAGTACCACCAGGTGAACTTAGGAGAGGAGGGAGAGAATAATATCTACCCAAAGTATTCTTATTGACTGTAAATACCGATGCTTAAATTGGATGGAGGAAAGTAAAATAAGTTCTTACCACTGTTTATGATTTTTTTAGGTACTCTTCATCTCCCTTGCCAGGGAAAGAGAACTTACTGCGCTTCTGGCTCTCAGTTTCTCAGCCTGTCTTTAGAAAGATGAGATTGGGTGTGCTTATACAGGTTCTGACTGGAGCTTTTCTTGCCACTAAACATCACGGAGTGTATGTCAAAGTACTGGAGCAGATGAAGCCCGGCAGGGATCCTGAAGAGTTACAAGCCTGAAGTTGAACAACTTTCCAGTTTCCATGGATAAGAAATTGTAATAAACAAAGAAGTTGGTGCTTGCTGTCCTTCTTCTAATAGAAAACAAGTTAAGACTGTGTGCTGACATTCTTTTCAACCCTGAACTTGAGTGTAAGTTAAGTTCTTCATCATGCCTGGCACAGAATATATACCTTGATAACATCTCCATAAAAATAAGTGGTTTTCTTCGGAAATGGGGAAAAATAAGTAATTTTTTTTATTGCGTGCTTACGGTTTGGCTGGTGGTGATTCTGCATTTTACAGATGTGCAAGTAAGTTTATTAAAAAAAATTAATAATATTACAATAATGCAGATAACACTGATATTTAAAAACAAATCATGCAATTTTTTTTTTTCCTTGAGATTCCTGAAAATCTGAGTACTTTCCTCCCTGAACTTCACTGAAGTAGAATTCCTGTCACAGATTTTGTTTGGGCTGTTACCTGGGTACAGCTATAAGCTGCAGGGAGCACCACGATCACAGAGCAGGCAGGAGTGATGCTCATGTCAGAGCATTCCCAGCACATGCATTGACACTGGGACCAAAAAAAGCCTATCTGGAACAAACTGTCCTCCAACCAGTTTGCCTTTAAATTGGTCTTCTCCTGAAGCAATGAACTACATTGAGAGGCCTCAAAGGGCTGTTGCTGTGGTACCTCAGCATCCTCTAGTTAGAAGTTAGTGGTTCAGAGTGCTTTCTTTGTGAGTCAGGCCTGTATTCACCCTGACAGCTCTATGTTCTAGAGGCTTGATTTCCAGCTGGAGACCAGCAGCAAGCAGTGCTCTTCAAAGAGTCTGCATTGGGAGCAGTGTTAACATCTTTTTGAGTAAAGACAATAGGATTTTCTACAGAAGCAATCATCTCAGTGTGCTGCATGGTCTTCTTTGTAAAACCTACATCGTTACTGAGCAGCAGCTACATGCATTTTATTTAAATTCTACTATCCCCAGAGATGCAAACAGTAATTTATATATTAAGAATTCAGCCCTAACTGGCTTTCTTAAAAAATTCCAAGTTGGACACTGATGAAGGTTGTATTTTAGTTTCATGTTTAGTTTAGTTTCCTTGTTATAGCAGGACAATCATAGTAGGAATCATAGTGAGAAAGTCTCGCTACCATGCCATTATTTCTCTGTAACCAGGAGCAGTGGCCTTATTTGTACAGGCAAAGCACAAAATGACACTGCAGCTGCAACAGCTGTTACACAAAGTTGGTTTAGTTTTGCTTAGCCTGAAGTATTCCTATGTTCTCACACTGACCTGCATCTAAGGGGACATTTTGGCCAGCCTTACCTTCATCATCCTCCACTTTAGTGATTCTCACAAATATTTTACTAGGCAGTGAACGATGGTATTTCCAAGAGTTGTATCATCAGACTTTAACTCACTGAACCACTTACCTGTGACAAAAAAAAAGAACAATGATATTTTAAGCTATTACTTTGCAGTGGTGTCTTTAAGAAAATGAATGGTTCAGAGGTGGTTACTTGAGTGTTTACATAGATCTGGCTGACAGGGAAGGCAGACCCTCACACTATGGGTGATATTCAAAACCTCCTTCCATTCCATGCACTGTTTTTATTTTGCTGTCAATTCAAGTGGTAATTATTCTCCAACTAATCAAAATGCATGCTGTGTTTTTAAAGGGTTCAGTGAGGACAAACTGTTCTCTACTCTTATTTTAGGACGGAAGGTAGAGAGCATTCTGTACAACAAACGGAAAACAACACTCCTTGGGGTCTGATCTGTATGCCTTCTGCTACCTTCATAGCTGCAAGGAGGCAGTCAGACTACACATCACATGCCTGATAAATAGCCTGTACTGATAGACTTGTGATGGGTTTAAGTCTGAACTCTACCAAAAGGACACCAAGGGACTGGCTATAGAGAAAAATGAAGATAAAATTAGTACTTTTCTAGTGTTTATCTTGTACGTTTTTCATTTCAGATGGCAAATCTCAATGTTACATCTACTCCACATCCCCCCGCATCAAGTCCTGCTCCTGGCACCTTCCTGCCATTGAGCAGAGGCAGTGTTATTTCTCCAGCTCTCTATATCCTACAGCAGTTGGATGAAAAAACACAGGCTCCACCACTGCCAAGGTGCAGTTTTACACAGGGCGTTCTTTAAACACAACCCATTTGAGTATCCCCAACAGCTAACAAATCCTTGAAACATTTACACATAGAATGCTACAAACAGAATCTTGTTGATTCTCACAGGGAAACTCTTTGCTAGCTTTTGAGAACAGAGGTTCTGTGGGCAGTTGTTAGGTAGATGTTCCTCCTGATGCTGTTAAGCTCTTCAGAAAACAGAAGAAAAGTTAATGTGCTGTCTGTAAAAGAGAACTGAGAATGAAATTGCTTCTTACTGCGCTCTAAATAAGCTCCAGGTGACCTTGGGGTGAAGAAATACTGGAAAATTTAGTATAGTTGGGCAGTTCAGCGCTGAAAGCCAGCACATTTCTTTAATGTGCTCTTTACAAATAATGCATTTAAGAATAATAGAAATCAAAGTCCACAGCAGCACGTGGCTCACTCTGGAGCTTTACAAATGCTGCCCCTTCAGAACCCTGTAACACTTCATACACTCACCCTAGTGCTGAACACAGAAACAACAGTGTGATGGAACATCATGGCTAAGAGCACGTTGTTGACTATTTATCAAACTTCAGAACCTAGTAAGGATAGCAAAGAGGGAGACAGCAGCCCAGGGAATGTAAAAACTCCACTCCTCTGTGGCTTATTAATTAGACATATTCACACTAATTAAGGGAAACAGCTGTGAAATACAAAATGTAGTTATTGCTGAAGAACAGTCCTATCTTCGGTTCAAGGAATAATGCCTTTGTTTCTTCTTTATTTCTTCTTTACCCCAAACTAACTTGAAAGACAGGTGAGCAAGAACCTTCCTTCAGGATGCACTGATCCATTTAATCTTGTGTTCCATCAGCTCACCCACGCAGCAGAATTTCCCTGATTCCCATTTCGTGTAATGAAGCACTCAATTAAAGCAAGGTACCAGCAAGAAGAAAAAGATGAACATTTGAGCCCAAGATCAACAGGTCTGACTTTATTATGATACAGTATTCTCATCTGGATGGCACGTCATTACAAAGAAACATTTACAATATATTTTCAAGTATTAAGTTTAAGTCATTTCAAGGCTTCCACTTCAAAAATTAGTACACCATACAGATGGTACAGTTGGTTAGTTTCAAATAACCTCCTCCCCTCTACTTGGTTTAAATATGGTTCAGTAGGCACTAGATATGCCTGCAGCCACTTACTTTCTGGGACTTGACCTTGTTCTTGCACAGGTCTATGTCACTGTGTGTACCACAACATCAGACACAGCTCAGGTGGTTTCATGGCTCGAGTGACGTGCAGCTTCATAACAGAGATCTCTGACTCCTACCGCGTTGCAGTGATGCAAAATGAAACAATGCTTATTTAACTTAAACTGCACTGAAGCGACTGTAGCAATGCCACTGTAACATCCCACACTTGCTGCATTTGTGTTTCCCTTCTCATGCACACACTAAAATTCAAACTGAAGCGTGGTTGTGAAGCCTGAGCCAGGCAGATTCAACCTAGGCTCAATCTAACTCACTAATTTCCATTCTGTGTATCAGTCAGCACACATCTAGAGAAGGTCCTGGCATAACCCACCACCTGCAGCAGAGCACACAGCTAAAGACTGAACCTCGGAACAGTCCTGCCAATGCCACCGCAGTAATGCACGTCTTAAGTCTCTCTTGTGCTGGCAGTGCATCCTGAACAGATGGAATTCTGAAAACACTGCTTGATAGGATACTGTCTTCTAAAAAACATCTCGGATGACAGATAATGAATCCCAGCATTCAACCTTTTTTCGTTTGTTTAAACAAAGACAGCAAAAGCCCTGTTACCTCTTTATTCTCATTTCTTATACTACCTTTTAAAATAAAGCAGGAAATGTGGCCAGCAGCTGGTCCCGTCTCTTCTGCCCCAACACAGCTGAATCCACTTTAGCATAAAGAAAAACAAGGATGCTAAATACACGTATACTTCATCACACAGTGACGTTTCACAAAGAAAAATCATCTTCGTACTGAGGAGCACTTGATGAGGTGTAGTGCCAACAGTTCCAATTGCTGGGAGAAAACCCTTCTGCTTAGCCTTAAATACCAGATTTAAGGCTGTAAAAAACAAGATTTCCAAAACACTCAGAATATTTTCTTAAAGAAGTTAATACATGGGACTGATTTAAATCTATTCTTTGTGAAACCTCACTTTACATGTATTATCATTCTCACAATCCTTCTTCCCCCAGCTGACGTACAGAAAAACCACCTCAACATTATGACACAACTACCTGCTCATTCTGTGTGGGAGAAATGCTACTACCAGAGAACACATGCTGCTGTTCATCAACATTTTTCCTCCTATCTCAGTTAATCAGGAAGAATTTCTCAATTAATTAGTCACATATACGCTCATCTCCATACTCTGCTGAACTGAATGAAGTTATGGATTTCTGGGTACTGTAAGAGTAAGCTAAACTAACATCTATGGCATCCTGATCAGGAATGGTGTCGTGAGCAGGACCAGGGATGTCATACTGCCTCTGTACTCGGCACTGGTGAGGCCTCACCTCGAGTACTGTGTTCAGTTTTGGGCACCTCAGTACAGAAAGAGCATTGAGGTGCTGGAGCAGGTCCAAAGAAGGGCAACAAGGCTTGTGGAGGGCTTGGAGAATGTGCCATATGAGGAGAGACCAAAGGAACTGGGGCTGTTTAGCCTGGGGAAAAGGAGGCTGAGGGAAGCCCTTAATGCTCTCTTCCAATATCTGAAAGGTGATTGCAGCAAGAGCAGGGTTGGTCTCTTCTCACTGGTGACAGGACAGGGGAAATGGTCTCAAGTTGCTCCGGGGTAAGTTTAGGCTGGATATCAGGAAAAGCTTCTTCACAGAAATGGTTGATAAGCACTGGAATAGGCTCCCTAGTGAGGTGGTAGTCACCATCCCTGGATGTGTTTAAAAACCTTTTGGATGTGGTGCTCAGGGATGTGATTTAGTGGCGGGTTGTTAAGGGTAGTATGGTTAGGTTGTGGTTGGATACAATGACCTCTAAGGTCTTTTCCAACCTGAGCAATTTTATGATTCTATGATCTCTACTGTAAAATTAAGCACATGCATATACGTGCAGTTTCTTTAAAATTTAAAGCTACTCTGAAACAACAAAGGAATTTCAGTGTGCACAGGCACAGAGATTACTTGTGAGAGGTACTCAGTTATTTGCAAACCCGCATGATGCCAACCACAGTTCTCACGGGAGTTCTATATAGAAAGTGATTTCTCTACATTAAGGTTCCACTGAACAGATGTAAGCAGCGTTTGGCTTCTGTTCCAATAGGAAAAGCTCTGCATCATGAATTCAAGAAAGGCAGGAAAGGACAATCCTAAAGGGACCATGCATCCTTAACACTGGACTGCATTTTAAGCCATAGATCACATTTTTCATTTAAAAGCAATTTACTTGTTCTTTTGGGACTTCCACTGTGATAAAAGACTATAAATGTTGTATCATTAGCATATTTTCCCTTTTGCTGCTCACCAGCTCGTGGTTCAACAGAAAATTCCTATTTCAAATGGCAGAAAGCATTTACTTTTAATTCAAAACGCAGCTCACTGACCGGCTACTACGCGCATGTTGATTTAGAACAGAAAGCAGCTACTCAGAATGGTGTTTTCCACAACTGAGTTAGGAATCAGAAACATCACAGCAAGGCAGGGACCAGAGATACCATCTCCTGGACCAGTCACCGCATGAACGAGACCGGCACAAGCAAAGCAAGCTGTCTGACACCGCATTATGGGAATATATTGATCCTTACCAGGTTGCGAGGTGGGAAACGACTGCTCTTTAACCCCTACACAACGGAGCCTGGCAGGGCAAGCACCTAAAAGAGAAACTGTCAGAGAGGTTTTAATAGTAACGTATAACCAAGAAGCAGCACAATTTTATACGCATGCTTTCTTTTTCCAATCGTTACTACTTGCCGTCCGACGACGACGTCTTAATGAAGGTTTCGGTTTTCTAAGCGAGCGTTTTCAGCTGGGATAAACGGGCTGACACAAACCCGGCTGGGTCAACGTTATCTCTACCGACAGCCGCACGCCGTCCAGCCTCAGGTCGGCGCCGTCCGTTCCCCGCCCGCAGCTCCGCGTCACCACCGCGCCCGGCTCGCACCGCCGCCGGCTCGACGCGGCCTTCGGTCGAGGCGCTCACCCGTCGTTCGGAATTCCGTCACCCGAAGGCGACAGCTTCCCCTTCTCCGCGAGGAGGCACTTGCGGCGGGTAGCAGACCCTACGTTTTGAAGGAGGCGGCCGCTCGCCGAGCGCAGATGGAGCAGAACTCCACCGACACCTGATCCCGCTCCACGTGCAAGCAGATCCCGCCGGGAGCCGCCCAACGCTCCTCGGGCTCCGCGCCCGGCGGCTGTTCGGGGCCGGGCGGCCGCGCGTTGGGCAGCGCGTAGTCGTGGTCACCGCTGTCGCCGCCGGCCCGGCTGGGCTGCTGTTGGTGCTGCTGCTGTTGTTGGTGCTGGCGGCGGCCGTCCCTGAAGAGGCTGGTGCCCAGGCGCAGCCCGCCGGCCCGCGTCCCGGCCAAGCGGCTCAGGAGCTGCCCCAGCGCGCTCTGGTTGGCCAGCACGGCCCGCAGGTAGCCGCTCTCCCGCTCCAACTCCCGCAGGCGGCGGTTGAGGCCGCGGTTGCGGTCCCGCAGCTGCCGGTTCTCGGCGGCCAGGCCCTGCAGGCGGCTCTCCAGCCCCAGCACGTACTGCTTCTTCTTCAGCCGGTTCAGCCGCGCCGCCGCCGCCGCCTTCAGCCTGCTGCCGGCCCCGCCGCTCCGCCGCCTGCGGCCCCGCCCCGCTTCTCCGCAGAAACAGCCGCTCGGCTCCGCTCCCGCGTCCCATTCCGGCCTGGCCGCCTCCAGCAGGTCTCCCAGCTCCAGCCCGGGGAACCAGTCCTCTTGTTCCCACACCTCGGGCGGGCCTTCGACCGCCTCCTTTTCCTGTTGCTGTTGTTTGGGCCTCGCCGCTCCCGGATCCCCTTCCCCGCCGCCATCCCGCCCTCTCGGGGCCTGCCCAGCGCCGGCGAGAGGCCACGCGGCTCCCGAAGGGCTCGCTCCGCCCGAGGAAGCCGCCAGCAGTTGGGTGAGGCTGTGCCGCATGGCGGCGGCGGCGGCGGAGGGAGGAGGGGGGGAGAAGGCGGCGGCCGCGGGGCCCGGGAAGAGCGGCGCGGAGCGGCGATGCCGCGGTGCATGTCGGGAAGCAGCGGGCGTGAGGGGATGGGGGGGGGGGGAGGAGAGGAGGAATGGCTGAGGGCTGCGGCCGCGCGCGGGAAAAGCGCGTGTGTGAGGGAGTTTAACGGTGCCTGAATGGCTGCGTTGGGAAGGACCTTAAAGCACATCCGCTCCTCATCGCTGCAACGGGCTGGGTGCCCCACACCAGCTCAGCCTGCGCAGAGCCCATCCGACCTGGCCTCGAGCACCTCCAGGGATGGGGCACCACAGCTCTATGAGCAGCACCAGGGGCCTCACCGCCCTCAGAGTAAAGAATTTCTTCCTAACCTAAATCTAAATCTCTCATTTGATTTTAAACCGTTCCCCCTTGTCCTGTCACTGTCACAGAATTGTGGGGTTGGAAGGGAGCTCTGGGAACATGGAGCCCAGACCCACGCTAAAGCCCGCTCCCTGCAGCAGGTCCAGGCGTCCAGGTGGATGTCGAACACCCCCAGAGAAGCAGACTCCCCACCTCTGGCAGCCTGTTCCAGTGCTCTGCCATACTCAAAGTAAAGAAGTTTTTCCTCATGGGAACTTTCCCACTTTATGCCCCTTGTTGTGTCAATGAGCACAGTGAAAAGAACCTGGCTCCATCTTTCCATTAGGTATTTGTAAGCATTAATAAAATCTCCTCTCAGTCTTCCCCAGGCTGAACAGCCTCCCATCTCAGCCTTCCCTCATGCAGAGATGCTCCAGGCCCTGATCATCTCTGTGCCCAACCCACTGCATTCTCTCCAGTAGTTCCCCATCTTGTTTGAACTGGGGAACCCAGAACTGGAACGGGTTGCCCAAGGAAGCTTTGGATGCCCCATCCCTGGAGGCATTCAAGGCCAGGCTGGATGTGGCTCTGGGCAGCCTGGTCTTGTGGTTGGCGACCCTGCACATAGCAGGGGGTTGAAAACTGATGATCATTGTGGTCCTTTTCAACCCAGGCCATTCTATGATTCTGTGATTCTATGAACTGGACACAGCTGTAGCCTCTCCAGGGCAGAACACAGGTGCAGGACCGCCTTCCTCAGCCACGCTCTTATTAATGTGCCCCAGTGCATCAGACTGCGTAAGAAGTCAGTCTCTAAGACATGTTCACGTTATGAGAACTTGGAGAGCAATCCTGGCAGCTGCCTGCAGCCCAGCTGCAGGATGCCATTTGGCATATTGTGGGGTGAGTGTTGGAGGCTTCAGGAGCTGAAACTCAGCAGCCAAAAACCACCTCCTCAGCTGGGAGAGGCAGGAGAGGATGGTGAACCTCACTGTCCCACGGTGCTGACTAGAAACAGAAAGGTTTTGGCCAGAAATTGCCAGACCTGTGCCCTCAGGTTTTGTACCACTTAAACCTTCAACCTACTTTGAAAACAACTGAAATCACCCAAAGAATCTCTTACTTTGAGTTGAACAGGGATATAAACAACACTGGCATTAGATAACTGTAGGCAGCTGTAGAACAACTACGTGTAATATCTTGCTTGAGCCTCAGGTATTGTTTCAGTGATTTTACTGTTTGGACCCAGTGAGTTTCTGAATTGTTACTGTTCATGCCACAGACATTGCAAGATTGGATTCCACTCTTGGATCTCCGAAGATGCCTCTAAGGCATTCCCCATCTCTTGAACTTCAAGGGACAATCAAATGTTAAGAGACTACGAGTGCTTCTGATAAAAAAAAAAAAAAAGTCTCTGGGGAAAAAAAAATCTAGGACCAAATAAAATCAAATTCACATTTGAAGTTTTCCCCCCTAATCTTTCACGTTACAGATCTGACATGGTTTGGCTAGTATGACAACTCCTGCTCAGATTTAATGGCATAGAGCTCTTACGAAAAACTGTAACAAAAAAGAATTAAAGGCTCCAGACCAGTTCTTGCAGAAGGATTTAAGCTTGTAAGTACATTACAGAGATCTGCTAGAAGATGGCTGCACGAACAAGAACAGAAATCAGTGAAGTGGTACCTGCTAAGAACGGAGCAGAATGCTGACGTTTTATGCCTTAAAGTGACGAAGTTTGACATTCAGTGCTTTTTCTTTGGACAGTAAATCCATACTGTGCTTTTTGTAAGCATCAAACTGCAGTGAGAGCTCGCTGTAAGCCTGCTGGCTGTTTTTCAGCTCTTGCTGGAGCTCTTGGACCTTCAGATCATAGTTTGCTGCCACTTCTTTAACAGTGTTCCTCTCTGCTCTCCATTTGGCTCTTTCTGCCATCTCCAGCTTCCTCCCCAGTTGCAGAATTTCCTGTTGCTTTTCTTGCAGAGCTTTGCCCCTTTCTCTGGCCAGGTTCAGCAGCTGCTCTTTCTCCTCATTTGCCCTCTCCAGCTTGGCCTGCAGCTCGGCATCATGAGCCTTCTGCTGGCTTTCTCCATGCTCTAGCTGTTCCACCAGTTGTTGGTGCTCCTCCTGTAGGCGCTGCAGCTGTTGTCTTAACGAGTCAACCTGCAAGATACAGGCATTTGCTTGCTGGCTCTGCGCTTCCAGGAGCTCCTTTTCTAGCTGCTGGGCCCTGGATCTCTCACAAGCACATTTGTCATGCAGAGCATCCAGCTGCTGTGAGAGCTCTCTGGCCTGGGCAGCAAGCTGGAGCATTTCAGCCTCCCTGTCCTTCGCTGCTTGGCTGAGGACGGTTTCGTTCTCCTTCTGCATGTGCTGGTTTTCCTCCTTCAGCTGTGCGTTCTGTTTCTTGTGCTCGTCCTTGGAGTAGATGGTTTTTTCGAGGTTATTGGCCAAATTCTCCAAGTACTGAATCCGCTGGGTTTGGGTTTTTAGTTTCACAGCATCCTCTAGCCTCAGTTTCTCCAGTTCCACGTTAAGCTGCTCCAGGCTCCTGTAGCGTTTGCGTGCATCATCTGTTTTTTTCTTCAGGATACAGATAAGGTGGTGCTGCTCTTCCAGGCGTGCCCGTAGCAGAGCCTTTTCTCTCTTCTCCTCAGGGCTCCCGCAGGGTGTCTGCATGCCTTCTGTCAGATCTTCTGCATCTTTGCCCATCTCCTCATCACTTCTGTGGTTGGCCATCACTGCCTCTCCATCCTCTTGGGCCATGGAGACACTGTCACACACAAAGACAAAACACTTCAGACACCACTTCTCTTAGTGACATTCAGCAGGTTTGAAGCGTTCCCAGAACTGCTCTAAGCTGGTGGACAGGGAATCCTAAAACCAAGAGCAGCCCTGCAGCCCTCTCTGCCTCTGCAGACCCCAGTTCAAAGACAAGCAGACTGAAGAGAAGGATACCAGACTCCATGATGCAAAAGCAAAGAACCGTAGGCTTGGTATTTACAAATTATAAATCTAAGTAGAGCATAGAGAATCAGTTCAATCCTCAAATTGATTTTTACGGTTTTGATAGTATATTATTCATTAAAAATAATAATAGCCTTACACTGTGCTTAGAGATTCATGAATTAAAAAAAAAAAACCAACATATCTACTCCGTGGCAATAACTAGTGAATGCACAGTAATAAAGGCAGCGCCTGGAGAGAAGGCTCCTTATTTGAGTGTTGGTGCTGATTTGCTGAGTCTGGTTTCTCATCTGAAGGTGTTTGTGTTACAGCACCACCATTATTAGTGCCTAATCATCTGGAGTGCTACCCAGATGTACAAAATGTTTGTTTAAAACTGAAGTACAACTTTCAGATGCAGACCTTCAGTGACACAGCATGACATAGCCTGCTGATAATCAGGCTCTGAGACCTTCTGTGCCTTGGCTGGAGGTAAAGTTTAGGCATAGGGAAAACTCCTTAGAGAGAGAAGTAAAGGAAGGATAAAGAAGAACATCCAGCAAAAAATGAACCCAAGCCTGCCAAGTCTGGACAGGTGCCAAGCTGTGACACAGGGATGCTGCTTCTGGGTACTCACCTTCCACTGCTGCTGCTTTGGTTCCTGCCAAAACATTCAGCCATAACAGGGAAAGACCAAAAGGCTGAGGCTATCCAGTGGAAAAAAAACAGAGAGAGGGGTGTAGGAGGACAAATCTTTTCTGTTGCCAGGTGTTTTCCTTCCTTCGCCTGTTTGTTGACACTCCTAGCATGGGGCTTGTGTCCATGGCAATGCAGGTCTGAATGGGTCACTCCAGAATCCTGCCTTCCAGAAGCCGTGGAAGTAGCTGGGAGTAGTTCTTAGCAAACAAATGCTGCTGGCGCTTCCAAGGGCATTAAAAAAAAAAAAGCTTCTGTTTTTGTGGAGTCCATATATACATATGGACAGAACTTTTATTTTGATAGCAATTAAGTTTTTAACTACTGAAATGTTGTACAGTATAGAACACAGGAGATTACACAGCACTTGCCTACGAATCTAAAGCCTCAAGACCCCATCTATGAGCTGAGCTCCCCTAGCTATTTTGGCACAGCAATGTGTCTAGGCTTCTCAGGAAACAAAACAACAAAAAACTTATATACCTGTTAAATTGTTGGTCATATTTTCAGCAACTTTTTAAGGTGAAAATGAAATCCTGTAGTTAGTGATTACAAATAGAGGTTTCTCTCAGACATCAATGATTGTTCTTTCATGAGCCAGTGTGCATACTACGCCTCAGAACAACATATCTGTACTTAAGTGGTACAGCAGTTGCTTTGCTTTTGTGTTCTTAGTTGGCCTCCCCTGACTGGGTGGTGATTCTGGAAAAGCAAAGTGCAGTCTGTACCAGCTACTTACCTCGTCCAAAGCAGCTGAGGCAGTAAGGGATGGAGACTCATTGCTCTTTTTGCAATCTCCAGGCTGCCCAGAATGGCTGTTTCCCAGCAGGTTGAAAAGCACCTTTTTTTTTCCCCCCCATTCATGGCATACAACAAATAACCAAAGAATCTGAGCATTTACATTTTCATGATTAAATTAAGCAACTGATTTGAAGCTGCGAAGAGCCATTTTTTTCCTCCCTAATCTTAGATGCAGGATTTTTCCAGCCTCTGGATACTTGCAGCTACTGCAAATAAACATGCATTTATTATATTTATTTCATTATATTGCATATTCATATTGACTAGCTAACAAAGCATTGAGTTTTAATAAACAAATTCCTTATTTAGATTTAATTCCATTTAAGGCTGCTTTTATTATTATTATTATTTTAAGTAATACCCTTTGTGTTTTATGCATTTATCTTCCCTTAGTGGCATGCGTTTCCACAAGTGACAAATCCCTGTCCCATTTCATGTGCTGCAGAGCTCTTTAAACCAGGACCAGCCATAATCCCAGCGTTCTCCTAACGGTGGCGCTGAAGAACAGAGAAATGATTTTGGCAAAACAAGCTAACAGATGCAGGTACAGATAATGAGTACACTTTACAAAATAAATACCCAATACTTTAATCATCATTAAAACTGGCAAGATCCTTTAGAGTAGCATTTGAATGAACAAGTTTGACTCCAGTGCCTTCAATATTTAAAAGTAATGTTGATTTATTAGCAAGGTGATGAACAAATGTATAAGCAAACTTTATAAACTTAGTTTTTCCTAGTAAACTGGAATTAAGAGTCCTCTGCACCTTGCAGAATAAGATGTCAACAGGTCCACTTCATGTAGTGCTTCTTCCGTTATAGAAGCAACTTTATACCATATAAAAGTACAACCACAGGTAAAGGGACTTATTTAAAAAAAAGCATTCTGCACAGTCCTTGCTGGAGAGATCCAATGTAGCATAATGAGGATTCAGCTGTAGAGGGATGCTGAGAAGCATGAACAAAATGCCACCTGTTGCTAATGAGTTAAAACACTTCACAAACAATCCAGGAAGTGCCAAGTTTACTTGCTTTTCCTTTTGTTTTTTTGGCCAGCAATTTAGATTTAAGGAATAAGCAACACTTAAATTAGGCAACACAAGCATTCAGGTATCACAGACTCCTCTACCTCTCAATTGCTAGGTGCATTCTTACTTGAGTATATTTTCAGTGAAGAAGAACTAGCCCTTTAAATTTGCATAGATCTGCAGGCAGAAGTGTAACTTGAAATATGAAGTGACACTTGATAGCAGAGAAACAGAACAGCCACAGAACACAGACTATAAAAGGAGCTACTGTGCTCCTCTTCCAAGCTTCACCACCACACCTTTTGATTCCATTCCCAAGAATTCTTTTTGCTGCTAGCAATCAGAAAGCCCTTATTTTGTCAGTTTTGCAACCATAAGCATCCTGAGAGGTAGTGTATCTTCCACCCATGTGTTGGGCGACTTTATCATCTTCTCCCACAGGGCAGATTCGTCTGAAGTAGAATCCATCCAGTCCACTGTAGTTCCATAACTTTTGCCTAGAAAAACGTCAGACACATTAATCACTTAATATTATGCAAAGTTGAGAGCTGACAATCAGATTTGCCTGTCTTCTCAAGCAGTTTCACCTCCTCAGGTGGTGCTTTCGAGATCTGACTCAACTTTTATGGTTGAACAATTCCATCAAATGCAATTAGTGACGATTCTGCACACAAACTGCGTTACCTTTCTCCACTTGTTAAGACTAAGTTTGATGTTTACTGACCTCACTTGTGTTTTAAGTTATTCTGCTGAACCATCTGAGAATTCATTTTTTCTTGCTTTTGCTTTGAAAGACTGTAAATGCATCGTCCCTCCTCGGATAGAAAGGGACATATATATATACATATATATATATAACTGGGAAAAACATGCAGTTCTATCTGCGTATCTCACACTGCCTTTCTGCAAATAAACATCTTTGCATTTATAAGTTTCCACATCCAAAATGTTCAAATCTTATCAAACATTCCCAATCTATCCTTTTATCTCCACCCAATACTGATTCTACACCTATCTAGTTTTTGCAGAAGTTTGTGGTATGTCGTCAAGATTCTGGGTGCAGAAATAGCATATTCTTGTATTTCATACCAGGTATGATGTAAGGACAAAGGTTTATTTCTACTACACTTGTTCTAAATTGTAAATGGAAGTTGTATTAGGGCCAAGTGACAAGGCAGGATCCCTGACAAAGAACAGATAACTCACTGAATGAAACTTTTAAGTAAATAAATGGCTGGAAAGCTGTTATTTTTTATTGTTTTAAAAGAGATGGAAAGGGAAAGGATAGAAAGGAAAGACAATTCTGTAAATTAAGGATTAATCTCTTCATTTCTAGTACCTGTTCCAAGGCCTATCCTGAGACCTCCCAGAAAATGGTTGACAAGTTTGTTGTGATCCCAGACTGTGAGTTCTACGCAGGCTTCTTTCAAATCTTCTGGTCTAAAGCCATCATAGACCATGGTATGGTTGAATACTGGGTTTGTAGTTTTTGACACCGTTCTTGTTTTCTGGCGACTTTTTCTGCTGGTATCTGGAAGAATTGTACTTCAGACAGAAAAAAAACACTGTCAGTTTGCACTGCAAGTTAACGGTGTAACTGGCATTAAATGTATTCCATAAACAAAAACTACTGATTAACACTCCTTTGCATGTTGCAAAGCAGCTGAAGATAAAATGGCTCAGCATCTTGGAGAAAAATTCAAAGGTCGTGTTCTCAGACCCTTCCAAGAAGACTCTCGTACTTCAGAGGACAGAAGGGAAGAGGCACAAGTGAGTTTGTTTGCTGGATTCTCGCTGATTTCCCAGAGTTCCCAACCATCTCGCTGTCCTCTTTACATTTTAAATCAGTTTGTAGAGAGGAAGAAGTACAGCTGTGCCTCTCACTTCTGTCTTCTCCCCTTCAGTAAACTGAAGCATACTCTTGCACAAACCTGCTTGGTTTAAATACAACTTGTACCAGACACAAAGCTTCACTTAAATCTAAGTAGCCCTTCCACCAACAAGCTAAGCATTTGAAATGAAAGGGTGGTGGCTACTAAGAAAGTTTTCCCAGTACATCTTACTTGGTAGTAAATACTTGCATCTTGAAGTTACAAGACCTGCAGGACAATTTGCATTACAGTAAAGAAAAATCAGAAAGTAATTAAGTAGTTGTAGTTTTGGGTTTGATTTAAACATAGAAAATTGAAGGTAAGATTAGAAATAACAGTGGCATTATTGTGCCACCATTTTTGATGACTTCAACCACTTCTTACCACTTAATAAAAGAGTTGAGTCTGTTGCCCCTCAGAAGAGGAAGATCACGGCATTCCTTCACCCAGATGTGGACCTCACCAGTGGACGGAATCTTCTTTCCTTTAAAATGACAATAAGAAATCCTGGCTCTGATTAATCTTTGTAGGTACCTAGTGTAGCCTTTACCATTGCTTATACTTTCAAATAAACTCCTCTGTGCTCTTAATATATTTCATTCTTATCAATTGGCTGGCTGGATTGAAGACCTGACCTAGCTTCAATGTCAGGCCAGCCAGTTATAAATTGACAGGCAAGAACAACCTAAAAGATCATACAGCTACTTCCATGAACATAATGCATTGTAATTGTTTGTGTAACAAATCACAGCAACTGTCTGATGATTTCATAATCTCCAAAACTGTTAGAGAGTAAAAAAAACCATAAGTACAGACTAGATTAACTGAACTGTACATCTAATTCTACAACAGAGAAGAGACCAACCCCACCCTGTAAGCACCTTTCAGATATTGGAAGAGAATAAGGTCTCCCCTCAGCCTCCTTTTCCCCAGGCTAAACAGCCCCAGTTCCTTCAGTCTCTCCTCATATGGCCCATTCTCCAAGCCCTTCACAAGCCTTGTTGTCCTTGGAAGTGCTGGAGCAGGTCCATGTCCCTACTGTACTGAGGTGCCCAAAACTGAACGCAGTACTTGAGGTGAGGCCTCACCAGTGCCAGGAGCAGGATGACTTCCCTGGTCCTGCTCACTACACCATTTTCTATACAGGAATAAAGGGGAAGAGGGAGAGAGTCAGTGCTAGTCTTTATGGGCAGGCCTTCACAGCTGGCCTCCTGGAAAAGCTGAGAGCTCCTTCCCCTCACCCCCTCACCTAGAATTGGAAGATCACGTCTCCCAGAACCAGAACTCACATGAAATAGCTGAGTCTGCTAGAAGCACAACACACAGAAAGTGCACCCAGCACTGTGCTTAAGCATCAGACAGCTTGCCACAGGATGCTATTATATAGAATACTGCTGTAAGCAGGACACCACCCAACCCACCCCTTGCCCCCAGCTAGAACTCCAAATCCCTGGCAAACTCCAAGAAGCAATGCATACCTCCAACAGGTTGTGGAACATACTGGAGGGCTAGTTTCATCTCCCCTCTGTTTTCTAGTTCAAAAGCCATCGCTGAAGTCTGAAATTCAAGAAAAAACATCTTAACACTACTGTTCACACACACAAAACTTCGCACAGTAACAAGATTGACTCGTACATGATAATTTTTTGTCCTGTTTTCTTCTTCAGTCTTCCCTCAGTTTAGAGCACACCACAGATTTAGGGCAAGCTGAGCTATTTGACAGTGCCTCAGATACATAGTTCTACTACTACAATGATGGACAAGACCCAGGAGAGATCAAAAGCCCTTCAGAGCACTTCTTTTCCATTGTTGTGTACTTAGAAGTGGTATATAAGAAACTCGTTCTTTGTGCAACAGAAATTATACTTCATAAACTCACTTCTGTAGGAATAGTTATCTGGAAATCAGCCTCAGCAGCAGTTATCTTGCAAAAAGGCATAAGTATGTGTTACTTCTTCATACTCACCTCACTTCTTCACATTGAAAAAAACACAGAAGACACAGATCAGGCCTAAATAAAAAATGATTTGGTCTTTCACATACAGTAGAAAATATAAAACAGCTAACCCATCCTTAATAACATACCCTAGGCTTGAGTGGAAACCAGTTGATCTGCTTGTTGGATTTATCATTCCAGTCCCAAGTTCCTAAATCCAGCTCCACTTCACCAAGGAAGCTATTCCTCCCAAAGGTATCATTGTGCCAGACAGAGATATTAAGGCTTTGGTTCTTTAGGAGATCTTTCTCAATTTTGTACTGTCAGAAGGGAGAAATGAAGGGGAAAACAAAAATGACACAGTTAGAGAAAAATGTGTCTGAGTTTATAACATACATAACTGCTCACTTCATTTCAAGACAAAACTCTCCTCATATTTTAATATTTCAAATCTTAAGTTCCTAAGTAGCTTGAGTTTGTTTGCAAGTATTTCACAACAGTCAGTGTTCTCAATCTAGAGAATATTATAAACTATCAATGGATGGATAAACATAGGTACACCTGCGGAGCGATTCATCTTAACACAAATATCTCTTTTGAGAGCATCTGAATCTGGAAAGTTAGAATTTCTTATACTTCGTGCCTAATCTGCGTTTGTTGTATACCCGCAGTATTTCATTGAAGACTGGATTAAAAGTTTTCTTTTTCACTGAGGTCTTCCGTTTGCCCAGCTTATATTTCTCTGGAAGCAAGTAGGTCTTCACATACCTAAAATGTAAACAGATTGGTAATGGAGGCAAGAAAACACCCCTTCCAACTTCCTATTCCAAAATACACAAGTATTTACTTTCAAAGTAAAAGAAATCCACTTAACTAAGTTCCCCTTAATCTTGGAAGTTAAAATTTAAAATAGAATTTCACATTCTTAGAAGTTTGACGTTCCCACATTAATGTATGTAAATTTATACAGCAATTCTAGATCCAGTTCAGAGTAGAAAAACATGTAAAGCATGTTATGGCCTCCACTTATTTGGTTGTTTACTCAATCATACAGATCTGTTGGAAAGAAAATACAGTTCTCATCTGCACATTAAAAGTAAAAATTACACTAGGAAGAAGATATTCTGTTTTTACTTACGGGTCTGACCGCTGTCTCTTGACATCTGCAACTGCCAGGTCTTTACATTGGCAAATGAAAATGTGGAGTTCGTTCAGTTGTTCTACGTAATCAATAGCAAACTGAATGTTCCCCTTCACATCGACACTGCCGAAGTCTCCACTATAGACACTCATTAAGCTTCCACTCACCTGTATCACACACAAGGAAAAAAAATTTCTAGCTTTGCATTTTTACCAAATACTTCAAGAGAGCAGAAGTTACCTTCAGGATTCAGAACAATAAAGAAATTAACTATGACCCTCCAGATGTAGTTACGAAATATAGTAGACATATTATACAAGTTCCTTAGTGAGCAGGTTAGCAAAAGGAAGAATGTTATTTGTGAATCTTAAAAGGTGTCAGGCCAAGTTTTCTACAATAACAACAGCAAAACTTACTTATTGCATTGAGGAAGAATAAAAATGTGGTAGGATGCTCTACATTGCAGATTGTGTGAGATATTATGTGTGTATCCCTTCAGCTTATCTTTGCAGAAGGCAGAGCCTAAAGCTTTAAGGCAACCTACCTTCTGAAAACACCAACAAAGAAATCGACAGAATCTTTATGTGCCTGAATTAGGCGCCAAAAGAAAACATATTTGAAAATTAAACCCTGGACAGGTAGAAAGAGAAGAATATATGTTTGTTTTTTTTTTTTAATTTTCTTAGAATTGATTATCTAGTTCACCCCACACAGCAATACTGTCCTTCTTTCACTTATTTTCTCCTTTACCCTTTAATCCATTTCTGTTTATTCTATATAAATTATTCCCCACTTTTGCTACAACTTTAATCTGTTAATGTAAAAGCCTCTTTGTGTAGAGTTCATAGAGTATGCTGTAGAATGGGACCAAGCAAGTTCCAGCATACTGCTAGAAAACAAAAAAATAAAAATAATCTTTATCTATTTTTAAAGGCAATTCCAAGCAAAGGTTCACATAACAGAAAGAGCAGGGAGAGGGAAGGAAGGAGAGAGATGCCAGGGAAAGAAATAGAAGAGAAAGAAGGAAGCCAAAACAATTCTGAAGAGATTAGCAAAAATAAAGTGTCACTAAAACAAGGCTTTTGTGTACATACAGAGGATAAGGAGGCCATGCCAGAAGAACCGCTAAGATTGGTTAGAGAGCTGGGACTCTTCTTGATTCTGCCAAAGGAATAACTGCTTTCTGATGCTGTATCTGTCTCTCTTTCATCACTCTACAAAAACATCACAGAAAGAAGGTCTGTGTAGGTTCTTTGTTGTTACAAGGAACATTTAAAAAAAAAAAAAAAAGAAACGATTTTAATAACACAAATTGGGACTCAAAGAAAGCTAGAATTTAAATTTTCTAACAGAAAGCTAAAACATTTTTAAAGCAATAATGCAACTGTTTTTTTAGGTTGTTCTTAAATCTCAAATAGCAATGGAAAGTACAAAGTTAATTTTTTGGGCCAATTAAACTCAACTTCTCTACTTCACTATGCTGTGCATAAACTTATGCAAGCGATAGCGCTCAGGTCTTTCACCAGTCCCTTTCTGCTATACAGAGAATGCCATCAATTCTCCCATTCCTTCAAGGCAAAGTTAGTTGCAAAGTAACACGCACAGTAAAACAGCACTGGATGAAGTGATTGGCTTTTGAAAAAATGCTTATTTTGCAAGACAGCAGGCAAGGAACTGCTTTTAGACCAAGAAACTGCAGTTTTGGGTTACTTGGTCATCATCAGGCACTATGCTTACAACCCACTCATGACATCTCCATGCCATCACTGGACAGACTTGATGCTTCTTTCCACATAAGCTTTCCTATGCAATTTGCTATAAAAAGCATTATCTCCCTGATGCGTTCCATTTGTCAACAGTGCGCAAGGCTGCCCCCCTTCATTTATGCAGATGAATCACTGTCATTGATGTTCTACTAACAAATGCAAACTAACAACAATTTCTACACACATTAAGAATATCTGCAGAGATAAGTTGAGTTTGGCCACAACTCCAGGCAACACTACAAGCTTGAGGCAGAGTGGCTGAAGACTCTGTGAAAGAAATGGACCTGAGGGTGTTGGTCAACACTTGGCTGAACGTGAGCCAGCAGTGTGCCCAGGTGGCCAAGGCCAATGGCATGTTGGCTTGTATCAGAAAGAATGCAGCCAGCAGGACAAAGGGAGGTGATTGGGGATTGTCCCTCTGTGCTCAGCTCTGGTGGGGCCAGGCTGCATCTTGAGTACTGTGTTCAGTTTTGGGCCCATCGCTACAAGAAAGAAACTGAGGCTGTGGAGCATGACCAGGGAAGGGCAACAGAGCTGTGAGGGGTCTGGAGCACAAGTCTTAGGAGAGCAGCTGAATTTGCTTAACTTGGAGAAGAGGAGGCTCAGGGGAGACCTTATAACTCTCTGCAACTCCCTGAAAGGAGGCTATGGTGAGGTGGGGATTGGCCTCTTCTCCCCTGTAAGTAGCAATTGGATGAGAGAGAATGGCTTCAAGTTGTGCTAGGGGAGGTTCAGGTTTGAGAGTAGGAAAAATTTCTTCTCCGATAGAGTAGTCAGGCACTGGAACGGGCTGCCCAGGGAGCTGGTGGAATCACCATCTCTGGGGGTGTTCAAGAAATGTTTAGATGCTACCACAGAATCACAGAATGGCCAGGATTGGAAGGGACCTCAAGGATCATGAATCTCCAACCCCCTGCCATATGCAGGGCCAGCAACCTCCACATTTAATACCAGACCAGGCTGCCCAGGGCCCCATCCAACCTGGCCTTGCACACCTCCAGGGATGGGGCATCCACAGCCTCTCTGGGCAGCTGAGGTGTTCCAGCACCTCACCACACTTTCTGTAAAGAACTTCCCCCAGCATCCAACCTAAATCTTCCCTCCTTCAACTTAAAACCATTTCCCCTTGTCCTGCTGTTATCTGCCCTTTCAAAGAGTTGAACTAAGTTGAACTATGTTGTACTAAGGGACATGGGTTAGTGGGGAAATATGGTTGGTAAGTGGATGGTTGAACTAGATGATCTTGGAGGTCTTTTCCAACCTTGGAGATTCTAAAATTCTATGATTCTATTTTGTTATCTACAGAGCTACCTCTTTTAGACATTTATGTTTGGAGACTGGTGTTTGGTTTATATACAGTCTCAACACCTTTCTCTGCTCACTGTTTGGGAAGGCACAGGCCAGGTTCCAATAGCTTATCTTTTTCAAACTTTGGTGTCATTTTAGGAGCTATGAACATGCCCTCAGAGTTTATTCCATGGCCCATGCCATACTTTTACAAATCATACTGAGTTAATTACATTAAATAATAATTTAAATGATTTACGAAGACATTGCTGGAAATACTGAGCTTTGATTTAGAGAGCCTAGTACCAGAACCTCCATCCCAAACTACTGCACCTCTGAGAAAAGTCACCAGAAGATGCCATTACGTATAGTCTTACAGACTCATTCAAACATTTTAGGCTCTGAACAAAACAAATACGTTAATGTATGCATGTTCTGAAGGTAGAAGACCTGTTATTTTAAGATTAGAAATTGCCTTTGGGAATAACAGCTAACATTCACTATGCTTCAATCTCCTAGATAGAACATACTCTTTATGTAGAGCTGTACAGCAGGAATAAAAGTTATTGAAGTGTCTGAAAGGTTAATAAGCTACAGGTTGCTTGTGATCATCCTGATTGTTATACTGCAAACAGTTACATGCTATGAGCAAGTAGTAAACTGGCTTGGCAGAACCTGGGAAACACTATTTGGCAAATGCATAATGCCACAGCGATCAAAATTTTTAATTACAGTTCTTCAAGAGATGTAACATACCTCCTCCTGTAGGAATGATGGTACTGACTTGCTCAGTCCTTTGACATTTTCAGGGTTGGAAAACGGCTTATCAGGCTGTGAAGGCACTGTGGAGACTAAAGAGCAGCAATTCAAGTTTCAAAAAAAAGCTCGGACATCAAAAGAGTGAGATTCCATAGCAGGGCATGGTTAAAAACAACCAACCTCAGATGAAATACATGCACATGCACAGAAAACCTTACATCTAAGTTGTAAACTTTCTTCTAGAACTCAGAGCTGCTACCATTAGGAAGGATCTAGATTGACATCTGTAACTCTGGCCACAAAACTTTGTCTGTCAGAAGACAAAATGTTTGTGTTGCTTGACAATGGATAATTCTGAGTGCTGAAAGTTCATTCTGATAAAATATGATCTATTTACCTTCCAGATTTTCTTTTTAGAATAAGAATAAGTGTTCTCATGCACCAACCTTGCCATTGTTGACATCAGAGTCATCAGAATGTTTTTGGTAAGAAGTTGGTCTACATACCAAACTATGTATTTTTTTTATTTCTCAGTCCAATTAATGGCAAAATATGTTTGGGTGAATCGAGAAATGTTTACATTTGAACAAGGTCTCAAGCGTGGAGTATTCCTAGTTAATTCTAAAAGTATATCTCAATGATGCAGTTTCTTACTGCCAATCTATTTAATTTTCATAGAATCCTAGAATATCCTGCGTTGGAAGGGAACCACATGGATCACTAAGTCCAACTCCTGGCTCCACGCAGGACCACCAAAAATTCAAACCCTGTGTCTGAAAGCACTGCCCAAATGCTGCTTGAACTCTGGTAGCCTTGGTACTGTTACCACTCCCCAGAGGAGCCAGTTCCATGCTCAAACTTTGCTACACCTTTACTGAAATTCACTTCTGTGCTCTTCATTTATTTCTTTGCACAAACTAGCCTTTCAGAGATCTAATTTCACTGTAAGTTCTCCACTCTTAGAATTTTTCATGCTCTAAACACATATTTAATGATACACTAAAGCTCTACATTACAGGTCTTTACACTAAATACACATGGTGAAATATACTAATACTGAATATCCCATGACAGAATTTTTTGGCAATGGACAGCCAGCTACAAAGCCATGCATGTACCTGTTGTACACATTTTAACACCACACACATGCTGGGATTGTTTCTAAAGAGTTAAGCTTCTTCCAAAGCATTTGATGATGAAGCTCAAACAGTGGTTAAGATATCAATTATTATCAGTATGCAGTTAGATGCAGTTACTTTATTCAGCCATATTCTAGTCCAGATGTGCAACTTGTTAGTTGTTAAATGATAAAAAAAAGATCTTTAATATGTTAGTTTAAATATCAGTGGAGAAACTTCTCCATTGTCAGTTTGAAGAATCCTATTACTCACTTCCGGCTCCATTTTCATTCCTCACTTGATGCTGATCAGGTTTCAGACCTGCTCAGTGCAGTATTGACAAGTCAATAGTGGCACAAACAGCTTTACAGTTTTATAAATAACATCAACATATTTTGTGTGTGACAAGCCTTTACTTTTCTAGATCCTCACGAATGTTTAAGCTTTGCATCATTCTTTATAGGAGCTAAATCCCTATAGAAGGAACATGAATGTGTAAGCTTAGCAAAACAAAATATTATTTTGAAGAGAATTTGCTCTACCTGTATCTGTACAGTTATTAGTTTGGCTGGGTTAATCATTTTCTCAAAACTTCACTCATGGTATTTAACAACACATTTAACTAAAAAAAGCCACCCTTTCCAGATAAGTGCCTACATATTGAAGATATAATGTGCTTTCAGTAAGGCTTTCCGTCTGAAGGCAGCATTATGTACTTAAGCACAGAGTTTTTAAGACTTGTTAACATACTGGACATTGCATACATTCTATTCTGTTACAGACCACTAACATTCAAAATGCTTTGAAGTTAACAAAAATGCAGCTTTACACAGCTATTTTTAAAACCACAATGCAGTGGGTAAGAAAGAATTGTGTTACATTCCAGCATATTCAGTGTTATTTAATGGTTCTCCAGCATGTTCATTTTGACATGATCTTGGAGCAGGTTTGCTTTTGTTTTGCTTAGATTTGAAATTTCTAAAGGAACATACAAAAAATTAACAGTAAGGCATCTGTAATGCATTTATAGGTCAATGTTATCTGCAGTAGCCAATCCAGTGTCATATTTTGCTTAAACTAATTCTACTTTGGTGGATTGAGACAGCAAAGATGAATGTATTTTCGATGAATGTATTGTGAAGGGCTTTCTTTTTGTCTTTTTTTTTTTTTAAGTCATTTTGCATGCTATAATGTGACAGATGAACAAATCCAATATGGAATTAGACCCAGTTTTTCAGCTAAGCTAGTGTTCAAAGCTCTAAATGAGTACAGAAACTGTTTCAAGGCTGAATGACCAAAGGCCAAAATAAGACTGATAGACGACACAAAGTTTGTACATGTATCACATGATGTAACCTGAGTCTAGGACTCAAGAATAAAAGAAGAAAATTCTACAAAAGCTTTTAAGTCATGCTGAAGTTAGTCTAATTTCAAAGAATAGTACAATTCTTGGCTTCAAAAAACTTTCACTAGCAGAGAATACTGGAAAACAAACTTCCATGCAGACACACAAGATATTTACCATCTTCAGCACTAAGAGCTAATTCTTCCTTTGGAATATTTATTTTTCCTTTATCTGTGCAGGAAAAAAGGTAACATGTGGTTAGAATGCTTGCTGTTCATTACAGTGAAATGGATTGTAGTAGAAATCACAAATTTACAGAGAAAAATAAAAGAGAAAAAACAGCAGGGCCACAGGAATGGTTAATTCAAGAGATGTTTTCTACTTGGAACGCTTACTTCAGTTCTGCATCCAAGAAGCAGTACCATCTTGACACAGTTTCTATCACACGTGCTTTTACAACAGTGTTAGTGCATACCTACATCCTGGAACTAGTTAGAAGTGAGCAACAGCATAAATAGAGTTAAAAGATTAATTTGCCAACAACAGCCAACATCTTTCAAAATCTACACCTCCACCCTTCAGTTCACATCTTCCCCATTAGACATGAAATAAACATAAAAACACCAAGGAGCAGGGTGAATGCAGAAACAAATTACAACAGTAAACAATAATAATAGTTTTAGGAGGCTACAGAGAGACCCCAGGAATGATTCCTAAGTTCAGTCTTGTCTCATTCCATTCTCTTAAAATGAGCCTGGTTTTATTAACTGCTAGAACAGGTGAACCTACTAAACTAAGACAATTTTTTCATGCTTCCACTGACTACTTGTTTGAGCCAAGCAAGCAGCCAGGACAGAACTGCAGTTGCAGCTCATTACTGGTTTGGGTGGTTGTTAATATTTTCACTACTGAAAACTTTCTAACCATCGAAGAAAACGTGTGTAACATGGTGCATTTTTTGGAAGATGTCTGCTTCACAGAGCAGTGTTTCAAAAGAAAAACTAAGAACTGAAAACTAAACCATATGAGAAAAAAAAAATCAGTTTTACAATGCAAACTTCACACTGCTTACTGACAAACAAAAAAAGATAAAAATACTGCTTGGCAAAGTTGTACGGAAAAACAGCATAAGCATGCTCAAGCCAAACTAGAGGTCATGGAAGACACACACAAGCTTTGTGCTCACTTGAGGTAGCTGATGGAATGTCCTCTAGACTTTTGGAAGGCATTTTCCTATCTGCACTCCTTTTCAAAGCCATCAAAACAGGATTTAACTCTTCTTCTGAACCTGTTATGAGACAAAACACATGAACACTGCACACACAGACATGCCTTTTAAACAAGTCACTTAAAAAAAAAAAAAAAAAAAAAGCCAACCACCAGTTTCTTCTGGGAATCTGTTTTGACCTTCAGCAAAGACATTGAGCATGCACTGAAAATACTAAATAAATCCAAACATGGCATGTTCTAGAACCTTCAAAATTTCTCAGACTCTGTAAGTAAGCAGAGCATTTCCAGTCTCTCAGGAGCAGAATAAAAAGGTTAAACTATCACACTAGAGCTGCCAACTTAAAGTAATGCAAGTTCTGCTAAATAGTTTGCTTCATTTATACGCTTGTTTCCTTGTGTAACGGGCAGCAATGCAATGCTAAGCTAAACAGCATAAAGTACTGGCATTGTCTTAATATTCAGCCACTCCATCAGTTTTTACCTTCAAAGACAAGCTGGCCAAACTAAAGAACGATCTCAGTCAGGCACTGATTTTATTTCCTCTTTTAATCCAGGGTATTTAGAAGAAATACCAGAATCTGAGTGTTACAGTGTTATTAATTTGAAAGAAATGTCATAGGGGAGGAGTGAAAGGGTAAGAGCATGAAGACTGATGTGATTGACTCATGCTGCTGAATTCCTATGATCACAAAGGCTTACCCAAACATACTACGTTTGTCAAACGATCTCCAATTAAAGGACTTAATTAGTTCTTCTCATCCTTCCAAAGCAAATATCGTAAGCATTCAAATAAGAAATAGGTATCACATAGACTTTTAGATAATATACTTCAAGTGGACTACCAGAAAAACTGTAGTTATGCTTAAGAACCCAGCACCATGAATTTTAGAAAAGAAATGGCTCACGAGTCGAACTTCCGGTTCCAGAATAATAATCAGAGTTTTCATCTGAAAGCTGGGATCCAAAATTCAAGCTGTCACCATTTTCTTCATCATTATCTTCACGCTGAAAGGCCAGGCTGAACTGAGCTCCTTCCAGCTGAGGAGAACTGCTCTCATCTTTAAGAGGTGTGCTTGTTCTTCTCAATTTCAACAGTTCTTTTAATTGTGAATTATCTTCAGAAGCATCCAAGAATGTGCTCTCACCTTTCCTTCCCACTTCATTTATCTTGAATGGCTTGATCACTGTATTGGTCTCTCCTTGCAAGGAAGGAAGATCTATTGCAGGTGTGTTTCTCTGTTCTTTTTTAATAGTAGCCTCATCTATTTTAAGGAGCTCAGACACTTCAGGAGTTACGAGATCATCTACAGAAGCTTTTACATTTTGTTCTGGAACTCCACTCTTGATAGCTGTCTTCTGTTTATGACAGCTACATACAGCATTATCATAAGGCTGTGACACTGTCACAACTAGAGTCTTTGTTTGTGGTGGAAACACCCTATTCCCAAACTTCTCATGTGTACTTAATGCTTTGGATATTGGAGATGAAGCTTCAGATGCTTCTTGAAGAAGTTTTTCCAATGAGCTACTGAATTCTTTGAATTTTTCACTATTTGAAACAGTAGTTTTTTCTATCGTTTCTTGTATTTCTTGAGGGTGATCTCCTTCTTCTTGACGTGCCATACACATACTTTGACTAGTTGGTATTTTACTTTGCATTTTCTTATCCATATTTTCCAGCATAGAAGCTGGTGTTTCACAGACATCTCTCAGTACCTTCTGGAAATTAACATCCAATGCTTTACTTTTAGCCTCAGACAGTGCAGATGTTTCCTGCAGCAACTCACCACTGTGATGACAGGACATGTTTCCCACTTGCATATCAGCTGTCCTCTGCACTGTGCCATCCATACGCCTTGGTTTAGGAGGTGGTGTTTCAGAAGCCTCCTTCAGCAGCTTTTCTAGAGAAGAACTCAAGCCATTGTCCCTACAGGGGGCAATAGACTTTTCAATGGTCTCACTGATCTCTCGCAGTGTTTCTCCATCGTGCTGACAGGCAGTGTTTTTAACTTCCATCTCAGCAGTCCTCTGCACTGTCATGTCCACACGTCTTGGTTTAGGAGGTGGTGTTTCAGAAGCCTCCTTCAGCAGCTTCTCTAGAGAAGAACTCAATCTACTGAGCTTGGAAGGAACAACAGACTTCTGTACGGTCTCACTGATTTCTTGCAGTGACTCTTTGTCTTGCTGATACTTTGTGTTTTTAGCTTGCATTTCAGCAGTCCTCAGTACTGTACGCCTTGGTTTAGGAGGTGGTGTTTCAGAGGCCTCCTTTAGCAGCTTTTCTAGAACTGAACTTAAGCCACTGACCTTAGTAGGGGCATTAGATTTCTCTATAGTCTCAATGATTTCTTGAAGTGATTCTCCATCATGCTGACAGGCAGTGTTTTTAACTTCCATCTCAGCAGTCCTCTGTACTGCCACATCCACACGTCTTGGTTTAGGAGGCGGTGTTTCAGAAGCCTCCTTCAGCAGCTTCTCTAGAGAAGAACTCAAGCTGCTGACCTTGGAGGGAGCAACAGACTTCTCAACAGTCTCACTGATTTCTTGCAGTGACTCTTCATCTTGTTCATACTTGGTGTTTTTAGCTTGCATTTCAGCAGTCCTCTGTCCTGCACTGTCTGCATGTCTTGGGTTAGGAGATGGAGTTTCAGAGACTTCCCTTACCAGGTTTTCTAGGCTCAAGCCATTGACCTTGGAGGGGGCAAGAGACTTTTCTGTTGTCTCGATGATATCTTCAGACAGACCAGTATCTTGGTGGCATGTTGAATCTACACTACAATTAGTTTGTGCTGTATTATTCACAGTATCAATCATTTTCATCCCTACACCTAATTCAGAAGGTTGATATGCAATGATTTCTCTGGGAAGGTTTTGCTCAGAGTACCTCTGAGAACGTCTGGGAGGATGTTCTTTTGACGAAACAATATTTTTATCTATGTGTTCTTTAACTTCTTGCCTTTGAAGACCTGTATTTTCATGGGGTTGAGAAATGATTGGCTTTTTGACCAGCTGGACAGTGTCTTTACCTTCTGTGGGTGTCACATTCAAACCTCTAAAAGTAAGAAATCCCACAGGCGGTTTGCATGCCACAGAATCTAATTTCCCTGTTTTTTCTTCCTCAGATGCTTGTGTTTGATGTTGGCTTAACTCTTGTTTGCTCACATTATCTCTGCCCTTACCTTTCTCTGCATTTCTGCCATAGGTTATAAAAGTATTATTACGAATAGCATTATTTGGAGAAGAAACATCTTCCCTATCAATGCTATTTTGTAACTTAACTCTAGTATCCCAAAAGTTTCTCAGACTCTGAAACTGTGAAGGACTTGAAATTTGATTCTTGGATATCTCATTACTCTTCTCTTCAAAAGACAAAGCCTGAAAACTGGACTTCTGTTGGGAAAAAGCAGCAACTTTTCCTTTAAATGCTTCTTTCCCATCATTATCTTTGATTTTTGGGGAAGCTGAAGTGACACCAACTCCTGACTGCAAGACACTGTCTCTTGTCAATTTTGTATGTTCATTAACTTTACCCTCATATGGAAGTGGTCTTTCTGTTTTTTTAACAGCATGGCCTGATCCAAACTCAGAAGAGTTTTGATGTCCGTTTTTTGAAGCCTGGATTGCACATCTTAATTCAGCACTTAATGTACTCTTGCTCTGATCATCTAATCCATAAGGTAAGTATAGTGCAGTTGGTTTTATTTTGTCGCTTTCTTTGAGACCTTCTATTGCACCACCACCTGATGTATTAATACGGATACCAACTTCTTTCTCTCCATGACTGGGGATAGTTTCCTGCCTTTCCCAAAATGCTCTAATTTCCCTAATTCTTCTTTTTGCTCTTATTGCCTTTTCCAATACACATTTCTGAGCTGGTAACACGTGTTCATGACGTTTCAAGACATTTATTTTATTTTGTTGCTTGATTTCTTCATCAGATTCTTTCGCTTCAATTCCTGTGTAGTCAAGCTCACTGAGGGATTTCTCATTTTGATCCTCATTCTCTTTACCGTGCTTAGGTTTCCTCCTCTCTTTTATCAGTTGTATGTCTTCTGAAATAAATGTGGTGGGTGAAATAGCATTCAGTTGTTTATTCTTTCCATACAGTAACTCTTCTCTAACCTGCATTTTTCTATCCACACTAGTTCCACTGTGCTCTGTGGGAAGAACTGTTCTGGTTGTAAAGTTCACTTCTTTGAGTTCCCCACCTTGGGATCTGGCTGATTCAGTTTTCCTATCTTCAGTACGAGAACTTCTTTCAAACCAATCTAAGACTTCTGATACAGAGTCATCAGCCACTTCCACAATTTCAGCACCATGCTTGTCAGGCTTGAAAGCGGTTTTAGCATCTCGTTCCTCAACAAGATCAGGCTTACCTTGTTGAAGACCTGCAGAATTTATATCTGACAGTTCTTGTGTTTTTGTCTCAGCAGAAAGCAGATGTTCATCTAGAACATAAACAAGCTTATCAGAGATAGGAATTAGACAAGACTCCAAAAATTTTTAAATCTTCAAAACCTCATTTTTTTGTTTTGCTTATTGGGCAGGGGTGTTTTGGTGTTTGTTTCATTTTCTTTGGTTTTAGGATTTTTTGCTTGTTTATTTAAACTTTTAGCAGATGAAAGAGCTCTCTCCGTGTGTTTTTGAAAGAGTCATACCACATGCAGCGATAAAAAATTCCTACTGGAAAAGGATTTTTCCTGTTGGAAGATTAGTCATATTATTTTGGCAGTGGTAGCATGCAAGATTGGTTATCCATATTCTAAAGGAAATGGCTCTAATGAAGGGGAAGGTTTTAGTGGAGAAGGAGAAGTTGCATATTTGTGTTCCTCAAGCTACAATTGGTTTACTACCAAAAACAGTCAACAGCGGGACAGCAGGAATTCTTCAGTTCCCACCCAGACACATCTACCAAATTTTAATAGAGGAAGTTTACCCAAGCGCCATTACGTCACCTTCATCATCCAAATAAAGATGCCTGACCATCCAGGCTCTGGATGGCATCTGATAGCAATCTATTAAGAATGCCAACAGAAGATACTCTAAAAAATTTTAACACGTTAGAGAATTAGATTTAGACCTAGAAATTCTACAAAATATAGCAGGGTGTTTTTGCTATATATTGTGTTTCTTAGTTGTTAAGTTTTAGGTACTAGCAATTTGAACTTCAACATATATGGGTTGTGTGCTATTGCATTCTCTTCCTTATTCCTATCAGTCTCTTACCAGTAAAGTTTTTGAGAGACTTTGATTCATGGCTCAAAGACTTGGAGTTATTTTCACATGTTTGGTCAACATTCTGTTCATTTTTGTTCTTTGGCAGAATATTGGTGGAGGCCTTCTCTGGAGTTTCAAGTTTCTTAGGAGTAATGGTCTTTGTCTGCAGTGTTTGATTAACAAGGGAGACTGACTCATTAGTGCCATTAGGACTGGATGCCGACGTATCTTCTTGTAAACTATCTATTGTTCTCACTTGGAGAGATGATGAATAGGTTTCCAGAGGCTTTCCAGTGTAAGTTTGTTTATTCTTACAAGAATCTGATCTATTAGCATCATTTTCACTAGTCTTCACTTCACCGGATTTTAACAAATCAGACTCTCGTGTTTCTCTTCCATGATGTAGCCGTGGGCTTTGCAAAGGTTCTTCTTTTCCTATGCTAGAAGAGAACCTCACTTGTTTTAATTTTTCCAGTGAAATTTGCATGGAATCTTCTGCTTCTTCCACAAGAGAATTCCTGTCAGCTTCCCCTTCTAAAATAGATATGGTAGGAATACTGTTCTTACTCTGAACATCGAACATGTGATTAGCCCGAGCTTCTGAGTCAGTGGAACTGGAACTTGAACTGCGCTTCAGAATGCCCCTGGGCAGTGCACCAGTGCCGTTAACCCCCTGGGTCCGTTTTGCTGGTTTGGGAAAAAAGTCTTCTCCCTGTGGCACAGGATTGGTTACTTTGTGAACTAATTTTCTAGCTTTGGGGACGGGATGCTCAACTGGTCCTTTCTGTGATTCCTCAGCAGGTTCTTCAGAAGGTTTCTTAGATGTCGCCATTCCATCATTTAGTAAGTTTGCTTTCGACTGGCTCTCCTCTGAAGGTAACAAAATTTCTTCAATATCTGTGCAGAGAAGAAATAATGAATTTACACAAAATTCAACTAAACAGAGTGGTATGATGCAGTGCAGATCTAGAATGATTACATCAATTAAAAATACTTGCAGCAAAACACAGAAGAAAATTCAATGTAAATGTTGATTTTATTTGTATATAACAGGAAACCTTAACAGGTGAAAATCTTCTAGCTAATTAACACTCTTAGAATGGAAAAAAATGATAATTTCAAAGATAGGGAGCACATCAAATTTTTGATCAGCATAGTTCATGCAAGGATTAAACTTTACAGGGAAGGGGCAGATTTTTAATATGCAAGCGTATTTTCAGGTGCAGAAGTTAAACAGCAGTCTACAGAAGAAAGTATTTTGAATTTCACATAGAAAAGTTAAAAAGCAAGAATGGCTTCCCAGTAGGGATATGAAGATTTTTTGAATTCTGTTTGTGCACATTTCACTTCTCTATTAGCAAGCTTCATATTAGATACATAAGAGTAATTGATGTGTATGAGCCTGTTAATTACAATTTCAGATGCCTGAATTGTGATAAATCATCACTTATCCACTTGCTTGCAGAGAATTCTACAGGAAATGTGAAATTCTAAAATATGTTGGACTGAGGAAACACAAGAAAAAAAGAGGTTTGACTCTTCTTTGAGCTAATAGCAGCAGTAACTGAAAGGTCATAACGATAGAAATTTCCTTGAATATGGGATTGCTGTGTTCTCTACCAGTGATTCAGGACAAGAACACTTGCAAAAGGAATGTGTGAAACATTTATTTCCTGAGTATACTCATGTTTTACATGATGTTTGAAATGAACTAGCTGATAAATTAAGAAGAATAGCTAAGGTATGAAAACCTGTTTTATCCTACAATAAGAAGCAATGGAAGTAAAATTAATTTCCATATCCACCACTAAGAAATTCACAGTCATATTAATATTTACCCTTATTTGATAGCTGAGGTAGAATGGCTTGTCTGCTTTCTGATTCTCCGCTGTTCAAGTTATCACTTGATAATGTGGAATTAAATGGATTTCTCCTTTGCTAAAAAAAAAAGACATGAACATTATAATTGGAGTCAAGTTACTGTGTCAGTACAGTCTTGGCAGAATAAATGAAAGTTCAGTGATTTCCTCTGCCTCACTGCTCTGTCAGCAGTGTCTAAAAGCACGCTTCTTAAATTGGATACGTAGCAAGACATCTAATAAATCTGAACCACAGAACTATAAGAAATGCCAGCAACAGCCTAATCCTGTTCTTTCTGAAATTACCAAAGCAGAGATAAGACACCACTTAAAGACAGCTGAAAATTCCAAATTCTTGCAAGGTAAAAATAAAAAAGTAAATCTATTTCTGTACTTTAGAGATATTGGAAGAGAGCAAGACTTATTTTCAGTGCCTGACAAAGTTGGAAACAGTGTCAAGCACAGGCATACACTGATTATAGCTGTAGCAGCACTTTAGGAGTGAAATTTTAGCAGTTTCCATCATCTCCCCCCAAACAAAAAGCACTCTTTTTTTTTTCCAGCTCATTATTTTTCTTCCTCAAATCTCAAATTATCATTATCATTCAAGCAAAGAAACACACAAGATGTAAAAGATAACATTCTCTACGTTCAATACGGTCTTACTTTTATTGTTGATGCTGCTGCCTTCACAGATCTTCTATCTGGATTTTCTAACAAAGAGGTCACTGGGTTAGAACTGCAAAGAAACAACATAACTTCAGCAAACAGGCATCACTTTAAACTTTTTCAAAAAGCTGATATTCAGTTGTACATACTGAAATAAAACTTCTTAGCACATAGTTTTGCTATTTAGTATTCTCATCACTCTCAGAAGCAAAACTTCTTTTCATAGCAAGAAGAGCAGCAACAGTTATCTCCTTGCAAAAATTTCTTTCCCTGTTAAAGAATTCAATGCAACTTCTCCTTGGCAGTACAAAAATTACATTTTTGGTACCTTCTAGAATTTCCTGAGCAAGCTTTATGTAAATGTAGCCACTCTCCAAACATCAGTATTACCACATCCATCCTTGTCCCATATGTTTACTTTTAGGACCGAAACTGAAATAGAGGGAAGTGTTAAATCTCATCAAAATAGAGTTTTGTAGTGTCCAAGAAAAAAAAAAATCAGGGTAACTCCCACACCACTACAGTAAAAAAAAAAAAAGCATAGCTCTCAAAGAGCTCAATCTTGATGAAAATTTTAATTTATTTTCAAAAATATCATTCCACTTTAGTTTGTATCCTTAGCTTAGAAAATAAAGTTCTGAGATGACATATATAAAGAATCTTTGTTTTCCTGAGGTGGAGTTTGGGTTCTTGTTTTTACGAGCACCTGTGCGCTCCCATACTTTATGCCTCATCTTGACCATCTGCTACTCAACAGGACAAACATGATTCAACCCTTTCCTTATTTTAAACAAGGACACTGTTTTTATGTACTCTAGATGTAAAGAAAACTTAAGATGTTCTTCTGCCTTCCGTTTTACAAGTTCATAGAATGGCTTGGGTTGGAAGGGACCTTAAAGGTCTCCTTGTTCCAACTCCCTTGCCATGGGCTGGTTGCCAGTCACCAGCTCAAGCTGCTCAGGGCCCATCCAACTTGGCCTTGGGCACCTGCAGGGATGGGGTACGCACAGCTTCTCTGGGCAGCAGTGCCAGGGCCTTACCACCCTCTGAGTATGGAATTTTTTCCTAACAGCTAACCTAAATTTCCCCTCTTTTAGTTTAAAGCCATTTCCCCTTGTCCAATAGCTATTAGACCATGTAAGAAGTCGGTCCCCCTCCTGCTCATCATCCTTCAAGTTATGGGGTTTTGGTGGTTTTTGTTTTTTCGGGGGTTTTTTTTAGGAGACCTTTTTTTGTCTCTTTTTTTGGTGTTTCTTTTTTTGTTTGTTTGTTTGCTTTCTTACATGCAGGGAGATAATTTTTAACATGATTACTGAAATTACTGAACACACACACATTCCACAGCAGTTTAATGCAATGGTACTTCACACTTACCAAAGAATAATGAAGTGTTATTTTGGCATTATGTACTGAACATGCTGCTATAAAGTGTAAGGCTGGGGAAAATAGGAGGAAGTAAACAACAACAACAAAAAAATCAAGATTCTGTAACTGCGCGTCTCAGCACAAGGTCTGAACAGAGGAGTTTATGCACATACAGATGGGAAAGGTGAACAAACTATTTCCAGATATGCTGCATTTGCAAGGCTACTCTAAGACTGTTCATGAAGCCACATTAATAAATACTGCCAGTCTACAGACCTGAAACAGTGCAATTCAGCAAACCAGTGCTGAAAAACACTGCAGATCCAAACTCCATGTAGACATTGGTGGGACCAGACAGGAACTTGTCACCTATTCAATGTTTTCTGATTGAGGGAACAAGTAAACCTACAAATCATAATTTGAAAGATTAAGTTCCTTTAACACTTCCTTTGTTCAATAATCAGCATATGGACAGATGGTATCACTGAATGGAGGTAATATTGACAGTCTGAGTCACACCATCAAAACTCATTCTGTGCAAGGATATCCCTTCAGAGGCACTTCACACAATTGGCCTCTGGTAGGGAAGAACAGCAATATGGGATACAATGCACCTCTCCCCCTGCCCTCCCCCCAAAAAAGGTGGGATGTCATAGCTTTATTAGGGGATTTTGATATTTAGGGTGGAAATGAAGATTATCATGCTAATTTTAACAAAATAGTTGTGGACTGATTTCTGTTGCAGCTAACATAGCAGCATTCTGACAGAACAGCAATCGAGTTGGCCCCAGGACTCTACTTCACCCTCTGTGCTCACAGAACTACCAGAACTCAGCTAACTTCCTCCACATTCAGTTAGAAATGCTTTGGTTCACTAACAGGATCCAGAATAACATAGGTCTGGTCCCAAATCTGAGGTTAGCAGTTGTTTAGCTTAAGCAAAGTCTACAAGTCAGTGATGATCTGAAGCCCACTCTTAGGGGAAGAAAGGGGACAGGGGAAACAAACAAACAAACTCTAAAAAACAGAAGTCCTACAAACTTACTCTTAATAGCACTTAAAAATGTATTAAAAGCCCAAGTGCCTGAATTCAATGCAGCATTTGGACACCACTAACTCACTTTATGGAATACCAAGAACCAGAACGATATTTGATTTCCTCCTCTGATTTCCAGCCATCTTGAGACTGCTGCATTGGAAGAGGATGAAACAACAGAAATTAATTCCCAGTGGCTGTGATATCTTAAAGACTGAATCAAATGTCCCTTCTTGCCACACCAGCAGGTAGGACCACTGATTTCCCAAAATTGTTCCTCTCCCTGAGTTTCAATTATTAGCTGCTGCCATTACAGGAAGGCATGCAGCCATATCATATCAGTCCAGCATCAAGATAACAGAAAGGAGTATTTTAGAAACTTGTGGCACCTTCTGCACTTTCCCACCTGTGATACTGTGTAGATTAACTTCAGTTACAGTGAAATAAGCCTGACCAAAATCAGAAGCAATGAATTGCACTTGATCTTGCTACAATTGCTTGCTTCAGCATTTCACATTTTAGTAACCAATAATCTGAGATATCTAATCAAATATTTATGCAAAGCAAACTACTAAGTGGCCAGCCCGTGTGTTACAGATTCCTTCCTAAGGTCTGCTTCCAACGGTATCATGAATCCTGGACTGTGAGAGCTTGCTTTATAGGGAATATCTTCAGCTACTGGTGAGTACAAGCACTCATAACGAAAGTGTACAGGCAAATGGCTGGAACAATTTGGAGCAAAGGGCAGGAGAGAGTTCTGGATAATAATTATCATTTTTCACATGGGTGCAACCCGAAATAAATCATCAAATCTCTTCAAGTTAAAGATCACAATCACGCTGCTCACATTCCAAGCACATAGCCTACATGCTCTTAAACCTCACTATGCTAGATATTTTTTAAAGACACTGCCCTAGAAGTTTATTAAGTTTATTACTCTTAGATCAGTCAAAAGATCTGTGGAGCTGTAATGGTGAGAACAGCATACAGCTGTACTTTAAAGGATCATCTCCTTTCCCTTATGTGAAAGGCAGCAATCAAAGTACTGTAACGGATGCATTAAACAGCAGCATGTCTTCTGCTGTCCATTAAGAAATAATCCTAAAATCTCTAGAAGATAAAAGCCAACCAAAAAAATACCTACATTCAGTAAAAATGAACACTTTCAATGTTATCAGCCAACTTGGGAGGGGAGCTAAGCTCTTTCTTATGCAAAGGAAACTTAATCATTATTATTGTACAACTTCATTTTTAGGGAAGTTTTTAGATAAACTTTGAGTTTCAGTACAGTATCAGGCGTGGATAGGACAGACACATCTCCGAGTTCACTGATAGCAAAAGGTAAAGGCTAAGAAAGAACAATAAAGCAAGCCAGAGTTGTTAAGACTTACATCAATCTTTCGTATTGTTCATCGTGAATGTTTGTACCCATTTTGCAGACCAGGAAAGTGAAAGAGGGAACTGCTACTGGATATTGTACAAGTGCATAGTAGGAGAAAGCCTTGCTGCAAAGGAAAAATAGATGATGTACAGAGAGGGACACAGAAGACAGACAAGAAGATGAAAGTTCACAGAAGCAGTGGTGCAACCAGAAATAAAAGTCACCCTATAAGCAGTTCCAGTTTTTACCTCACTCTGTTGACTGAAAGCATAAACAATAGATATGTTTGTTATAACCTAGATCTTGTTTCCTCAGTGATTTTGAGAATCTGGCTGTTGACATACATTAATTGCCACTTGCTGTCACCGCAGCAATTCTTTTCAACTGCAGCCTTTCTGAAAGCTTTTCAACACAGCAAATGAGTTGCTAACGTAGGTATTTTAGAGAAAAAGATAGTTCTGTCAGAAGTCAATTCAGGACGTTTCAAACCAAGATGCTTTGTTTGAAATTTACAAACTTGAACTAGAGAGAATACAAAAAAAATCCTCCTTAGTTAAAAAAAAACAACCACTTTTCATCTTGCAACAAGTGTAGCCATTCAGTCATGCCCAAGCTGACTGTTAACATCAGCTCTTAATCAAAGCCTTTAACTTCCGTATTGATTTCTTTTTCTTGATAGAATCACATCTTTTTTTCCTCAGATATCCAGACTTTCTGATTCTTTCCCACGTGAAGTATGCTTGGTCTTCTTAAAAAAAGCCTGAGGGGTCTCAAATGCACTGAAAACATGGAAAATCTATCCTAAAACAATTTCCCAATCTCCAATTTTTATATGATCCGAGTTTAAAACTCCGACTGAAACAATAGCCTTGTCTCATTGAGCAATCGAATGAAGAGAGGCAGTTATTGACCCCATATTACAAGGGGACTTTACAGATCATGGCCTGCTATTCAAACCACAAAGTCCTGGTCTCACTTCTGGGAGCCAAACAGAATGGTGGCATGAATATGACTGTGGGACCATCCCACACACAGCTGGCATTTTTCTCCTTGTAGATGTAAACCAAACATAGCTGCATTCAAATACAGAGCAAGTAACAGTGCATAACTATGAACTGTCAGCCCCTCTTATGAATTGATTCCTTGGGCCATTCCAGGGAAATATTTGATGATCTCTGAAACAAGAGAATACTCGAAAGGCACTTACAACTCACATGTTTAACCAGTTCTGACATACTTTGACATATTTCTGTTAACTGTGACTGAGCAGAGAGCTTACCTTGAACTAGATTTCAGTTCTTCTTCTTCTTCTTGACGTTCCACAATGCCATGTAGTTCTGGCGGTGCAAAGACTTCTTTGTTAACATTGCTCACCCAGCTGTCCTTTGCTTTGTTTGATTTGCTCTGACTCACTTCAGCTAAGGCATGAAAGAGGGATACTGTTAACTCCCATGTGTTCATACAAAATTTCACAAGAAGTAAACAGAAGTATTTACATTCAGTCCTACAGCTATTTCAAAAGCCCACTGCACTTGAATGAGATACAGAATTAGATCTGGTGCCTTCTAAAGAATATAACTATATTTTAATACTGCTTCACATATTTTTCTAATGAATTAACATTACTACTCCAAAAGTACCTGCTTTACAAATTAAAGAAATCCTACATAGAGTTTTCTATGACAAAGTGACGGCATTGGCAGACAGAGGAATAGCAAGAGACATCACTGGATAAGGAACTGGTTGAATGGGCATATGAAAAGATGCAAGTAGCTCACTGCTCAGGTGGAAACCAGCAGTAAGTGGCGTCCTTCAGTTCTGTATTTATTATTTTCACTGGCAGTGTGGACAGTATTATTCAGAGCATCCTCAGAAAGTTTGAGGGCAGCACTGGGCTGAGTTGTACAGCTGACACTATAGAGGAAAGGGATGCTGTCCAGAGGGACCTTGACAGATGGAGCCATGCAAGCCTCATGAAGTTCAACAAGGACAAGTGCAAGGTCCTCCATCTACATCAGGGCAATGCTAAGCACAAACACAGGCTGAGTGAAGGATGGGTTGAGAGCAATCTTGAGGAAAAGGACTTGGATAAAAAGCTCAACATGATCTGGCAATGTGCACTTGCAGCCCAGAAGGCCAGCCTCATCCTGAGCTATGTCAAAACAGCACAGTCAGCAGATCAGGGAGGTGATTCTCCCCTTCTACTCCACTCTCATGAGACTCCTCCATCTGTGGTGCTGTGTTAAGCTCTTGGGCTCCCAGCACAAGAAGGATGTGGAGCAGGTCCAGAGGAGGCCACAAGAATGATCAAAGGGCTGCAACATCTCTCCTACGGAGACAGGTAGAAGGAGCTGGGCTTGTTCAGCTCAGAGAAGAGAAGATGCCAGGGAGATCTTATAGTGGCCTTCCACAGTACCTAAAGGGAGCCTACAGGAAAGTTGGAGAGTGCTATATAATATTACATTATTTCCTCTAATGTCTTCTGTGCTTCTGCAACAGTTCAGAAATTTGTATGCAAAAAAAAAAAAAAGCAAGATTTTCATTCTTGTTGTCCATACACGCAAGCAAGAATTATCTTGATAAGAAATGAGTCACTGAAGCTAAGGAATTGCACATAATTTTTAATGCAGCAGCATGCCCCTTTGTTCAAGTAATTAGATTGGAAATAATTTTTGAATTGAAGTTTCCTTCAAGATATGTCTTGAAGTACTTTAACCTGTAAGTAAGTTATTATATACTGCAGCTAGAGCTTTACAGCTGATTTTCATAACCTTCAGAAGTCCAAAACCAAAGAACACTCCTCACTAATCACCTGTTTTTCATTCTGTTTCAGGCCTTTTCTTATTAAGTCAAAAATCCAGAACCTGCCCCACAGTAATCAAAAGATGACTAAACTGCCATTATCCAAACTTATCTATGGGAGCATAAGATTTGAGAAGGTGTAATGTAGTGGAATTCATCACAAGAAAATTATGCTAAATTGTTGTTTAAAAAATTATAGAATGCAGCAGCAGTAATCTACCCCAACAATGATAAGCATCTCACTTGCTTCACTAGCACACACACACACACACACACACATGCACACACAAAAATCCCTTAACAGAGCTTAAAAAAGGAATGAAGATTACAAATTTCAGTGCAGTTTAGTGCATAACTCTTGCCTTTTAAGACGAAAGGATTTAGAACTATGGGAGGTTAAGAGGGGACATGGGCCTCTGAGAAATAAATCACTTCCTGTACAAAGAATAACAAAAATATACCAGTATCTTTAGATAAGAGAACCAGATGCTGGAGAGATTTATAACAGGTCTATAAAATCTTGCATACTATTTCACATATGCTTCTATTAATATGGATCTGTCTCTTTCTTTCCGGGAGATAATGTTCAAGGCAATCAGCTCAAAACCAGAAAAGGAAGTGCTCACCTGTTATATGGAAAACCTCGAGACAAAGCATAGTAAAAGTTAAAAGCAACAGCCTTAAAGTCTTACGGAATTTAATGAACAAATCAATAGGAAAACAAACACAAACAGACAGCCAAAAACCAGGAATTCGTCCTTTAATTCAAAAATGGTTAGGTGCAAATGGTTTGCAGTCTGGTCCTGTTCATAGGATCTGTGCATGTTACCTGGCACCCAGATGCTGGGGAGATGAGCTTTTGATGTAGTCCAGTACAGCAGCTCTCATGTTCTCCTTTTTGTTTTGCTTCTCTCCAAACAATACACTAAATTTACTTTTAATATTAAATATATTATATGCCCACTTTTTTTTTTTTCCTCTCCAATAGAGTTTTAAAAATACAATATTAAGTCTCAGAAATCTCCAACAGAGCACATGAAATCTAGAAAAGTTGTACTGAAGAGGAAATACCTTCAGTTTGATACTTTATATGTTGTGGATTTACTTATAGGGCCTCAAAAAAAGAAATAAGAATGCAGTTCAGGAATGCAGAGCGCAGTCCCTCCTGATAGCACTTAACACAGACAGTGTCCATACTGTGTCCTACTCCAGTAGGAGCCAGGAAGATGACTAAGGGACTGGAACATCCCTCCTCTTGGGAAAGACTGAGAAAGCTGGGACATTTTAAGCCTAGAAAAGAGATGGCTTGGGGAAACCTTATCAACATCTATAAATACCTGAAGGGAGGGTGTAAAGACAACAAAGCCAGGCTCTTCTTAGAGAGAGGGAAACCAACACTCTAAATTACATATAAAAACCTTCCTATGAATAATTTCCTGTTCATAAGACTAACATACTCTTCTTGCATTTCACCTACTTAACTTCTGACATTGCTGTAAGAGTATTGCCTCCATACCAGCCTTTCCAAAACAAAACATGAGCTAAATACTTACCAAGAGTAGCAGGCTTCCTTCTCATGGAAGTTCTAATAATATCTGCTCCGTGGATCTTATCTCTATGCCTTTTTGACTTTGCTTCATAAAACCATTGCCCACTCATATTCTTCAGCTGAACATCATCTTTGACTTTTTCTGGTAAGTGCCTGAGGGAAATAAATAAATAAATAAATGAGAGACATTCACACTTTACTTGCAATGGGCAGAATAAAAGTAAGTGAAGTAAAATGCTAAATGTGGTGTAAATATACAGGTTCCCACAAACGCTGAATGCAAGACAAGAGGTACAGCAAAGAATGTGGCAGAAAGTACTAAGAAATAAAAGCTACTATTTTTTTCTGCTGCTTTATCTTTCTGTTGTTTAACAGACACAGCAAAACACCTGTTGTAGAAATCAAACTGCATAATAATCAAATTCTTCAGATATAACCACAGCATTTATTGTGTATTATGCCTCAAAGCACAAAGAAAAGGGAAAGCCTGAATGCATTGGTAACGGATGCTCAGTGATCTGCCACAAAGGCAGACTTCACTGCAATATATACAATATATAGATGCAACACAGAGTGTTATTCTTACACAAATTTAACTTCAGAAACTACTTGAACACTTATCTGAACTATAAAGACAAGCAAGATACAGCTTCTTTGCAGACATGAAACCAAATGCTCTTATGGCTACACTAAGTGTGTACCTTCTTTTCTACTCTGTAATTTGCTTTATTGTCCTCTGAATGCTGACATTTCTTACAGCCTGGATGTTTTTTTTTTGTTTTTCCAGAGTGTTTTACTCTGGAAGTGCTTAGAGCTGTAGTGAGTCAGAAGAAGCTGTCTCAGCTTGCTATTTCCATCTTCTAACCTGTTACTTCCCTTATTTTATTAAGGCAGATGGCCTTTATCCTTGTTACCCTCGGAGGATCAGTAGAAATAGCTTCAAAAAGATGTCTTGCTCTGATCATCTTGCAAGCCAAGTATGTATGCCCAGTAATGGCAGACCTTGACTTCATGCCTCCAAAGGCCGGTTTTCCCAAAGTTAAGGCTGAGATAAGCTATCAGGGCAGCACAGGAAATCTGTGCCAAAATCAAGTCCAGGGCTGTTCTGAGGCTCTGAAGATGCCTTTGAATGCTGTTCATGTGGTACTACCTCTATACACACTCTCTAAAACTATACTGGACACACGCTACCATTTTTCAATAAATTCTTATGCAAATGCAAAGAATGCCATCCTTACAGAGAAAAGCAGCAGTGTTACCCTGCTTACATGAGTCATGCCTTAGCAGAATAAGGAGTTGTGAACAATTTGAGATTGTTTTCTTTCCTTCTTAGGCATATAACACACTAAGCACACGCCTTTCACATGGCATGGAGACTAACTGCAGACCAGGAAAGTTACCACACAGATTTAGAAAGTACTTAAAAGAAAAAAATAACATCAGAATTAATCTACTTTCTCCATTCATGATTCTTCTGTAAACAACCTGAAAACACAGCCAAAGGGAGAATCAAAGAATCATAGAATCACTCAGGTTCGAAAAGACCTTAAAGATCATCAAGTCTAGTATGAGTCTTAGTATCATGACCTAACCATACTACCCTAACTCTAACAGCCCTCTGCTAAATTATGTCCCTGAGCACAACATCCAAGCGGTTTTAAAACACATCCAGGGATGGTGACTCTACCACCTCCCTGGGGAGCCTACTCCAGGGCTTAACAACCCTTTCTGTAAAGAAGCTTTTCCTGATATCCAACCTAAACTTACCACTGTGCAACTTGAGGCCATTTCCCCTCATCCTGTCACCTGTCACCAGTGAGAAAAGACCAACCCTGCACTCACTGTAAACACCTTTCAGATATTGAAAGACAGCAATAAGGTCTTCCTCAGCCTCCTTTTCTCCAGAGAAAGCAAAGCAGTCTACACATTACTCAGAGACATTAAGGCTAAAGATGTTACACACTGCTATAGGACGGTGACATCTTAGATCTTGGCCCAACAGCCAAGGTCAATGCCAATTTTATACTGCTCATGAGTTAGGAGAATCTTCTTGCCCAGTCACGCAGCTACAATCACAGCCCTTTTATTAGAGGTTGCAGATTTGACTGCAAAGAATAATCATTCACAATAGAAAAAGGATACCATGAGCCAATTCCAACCCTCATGTTAAAACAGACCATCCTCACCTATCGCTCTACTCCTCCTTCATATTAGTATGGCAGGAAATTATAAGGTTTATATAGTTCCTCCTGAGCAGGTGTAAGACTGCTTCTCATCTTGAATCAGCTACATACAGCTGAGGTTGCCAGGAGCCAAGGTCATCACTGGCCTTTTGAATGCCAAGATTCAGCTGTCCATAGCATTACTAGACAATTTAAAATTTGGCCCTCCCTCTTGCTTACAACTCTGTGCTTCTCAGAGCCAAAATACCTACTTCCCATCAGCTGCAGATCTTCCATGCTGGAGCAGGAACACAGCTGTAGCTTCCCTCTGTCGTCAAGCAAACACACTCCCAGTTATGAGCCAGCTCCTCATTGCTCAGCCCATTAATGAACAAAGACAGCAGGAGCAGCAGAAATAGGGTATGCAAGAGCTATCATACAGATGAACGCTTTTCCCTTTCACCTTCTTTCCCATGTATTATTTGCTTTCTCAAGTCATATGCTCCTTCACGTTAGGAACTGGCTTTTCAGCTGTTTGCTTAGCCTGCAAGCCAGCAGAGCTCTGACCCCAGTTGGTGCTTCAGGGCAGTCTGACAACACATGCCAAGGGAGGTTCTCAAGTGGGAAGATACTGAGTCACAGGAGAAGCATTCAGTGTACTTTCCCTCTGATTAAGCCTTTCTATCCCAGGCATTGCTCACTCTTTTCTCCTTTGCATTCAGCCACGGAAACTAGGGTGCAGTAGGATACCTTCACAAGTTAGCTCAACAGAGCTACAGAAGTAGCTGGTTTGCACAAGGAATGTGCTTGTTAGCTTCTAATTACTTGTCACCTGTGGCCAATGCCATGTTAGTTTGGTTGGAAGGGAGCATCAGCTTGCTACCTATGGGGGTCAGCATACTTCAATTCCACAAACTCAAGAGGCCTTCCAAATATAAGCATGGTCTCAGTACCTTCTTCATAAATTGTGTGTCCAGTGTACGGAGCTTGTATTCTTAAAAAGCTGATAGGAGTTCATCACAACTAGCTTATGAATTTACTTCCTTTGTTTTGTCTTCTCAAGTTGATAGCTTAAGGACTTGACTTTTGTTAGATTGACTTAGTCCTCCTCTCATCATCAGTCCAGTCTCTTGAGAAACTAAGAGCAACAAACATCAGATCTATTCATCTACCACAAATAAGGAGGCAGATTTGCATTATCAGAACATGCAGCTTTAGCTCTTGGCAGGAAGAAGTTTCTGAGAAGTTGTGTTCACCGACACATCATAGACCTGTTGCGAAAACGCGCTACTGAGATTACAAATTACTCTTTCCACGATGTTGCTCGAGTTCTCAAGCTATGCTATGAGCAAACTTCTGCATTTTAAAAAATAAACATCAAACTGATTGTCCTGTGGGGGTCCATTTCATTGCTATTTATTAGATTTAGGTTGTGGTTTACCTAGAAAGGAATTGTGCAGATGTCAGTCTGCAGCTGTGGTTTTCCACTGCTACATTTACTTCCAGCACCACAGCTGAACTAAAAGCAGAACTAAAACAGTTGATTTTAAGCCAGCTTCCCACTCAACAGAAAGACTAACCGAGTTGTCATTACCTTATTTTTCTCTTGGTGATCAAAAAACAAGTTGGCATCCAGATTACGATTGCAGACTCAGTTTGCCAAATTTGCAATGAGGAAAAAATGCAGTAATGACTTTCCACTACATACGTGTTTGTTCTGAAGTCCCTCAGTGGTCTTTTAAAATGCCAGTTACCTTGTGTTGCAGTTTTCAGTGAGAAATCCTGAAGTTATACTAAAGCTAGTGCCTGTCTCTTCTATAGTAACTTTAAAATGGAGAAAGTGAAGGTACATAAGTCTAAAAGAATTCATCCTAAACTCCTTTTTTAAAAGTGAGGTTGGATTTCTCCCATCACTTAATAGGCTTTTTCTGCTAGGTCTAGATGAAATATCCTTGATGGAAAGACAGATTTTCCCCCCAATCTGAGTATTAAGTACATGCAGAATTACCTTGAACTTGCATGCAAAGCAACTCTCAGGCACTCTGCAGGCAGTCAAAGTTGCAAAGTACGAAGGTGATGTGTAGACATCACCTATAAAATGTGTTTTTTGTCTCTATCTCTGAAACATCTGACAGTGGGCTAAACCTCCCCTTCAAGGCAGGAAATCTGCTCTGATATAATCAGTCCACGTCAACCTTTCTATCAGCAAATCACAATAGTTTATCTTTCCACTTTGTAGGCTGGTGTGAGAGCTCACTGCATCCTAAAGCAAAGTGATGATGACTTCAGTTTCTTTTTTTATTTTGTGTGTATATATATATACCTCGTAATGTATACCTGTATCTAATACTGTACAGCTAGACCTTCTCAGCATTCTTTGTTCCTTCCCCTTATCCTCTTACTCATAGCCTAAATTACAAAGCATTCTAGAATTTGCAAGAAGGGACAACTGACATCTTAATAACTTTTTATTGCCTTATTCCTCAATCAACAGCTTAAACTGAGCTTTTTGGAAGGAGAGTTGGAGACTTCTTGTGACCAGGTAGGTAGCATTTAAATCAGAGTTTGTGTTTGGCTCAAAGAAAGATTTTATTAGTTTTAATTATTATTTAGCTATGTTATTGATTATTGTTAGTGTCTCGTGCACTCTGTTCTGAAGATGTGAAAAAAGCACCCACTGATTGTGGCAAAACAAACACTTTTTAGAGCCTGATACTACCAACTTATCGATAAGATCACTTCAAAAGCCTTCCTCCTGCAAGGGAAATATCACGTGAGGGGAGGAGAAAGAGAGATTTCTCAGGAATTTGTCCTCATTTCTATTTGCTCTGATCACAGCTAAAAAAAATAAAATTAAAATTAAAAAAAAAAAAAAAAAAAAAAAAAGGATTTGAGCTCTGGATCAGTCAAAGAATATGTTTTTATGCTTTTTGTAAGTCCATTTAGGCAAGAACAGGAATGAAAGGATATTAGATAAGGCATTAAGGCACTTTACATGTCAGACCCGTGAGTCTTTTTTCTTCTTCTTCTGTAAGAGTGCAAAACAGCCATAAAACATTTACAAGTCAAAAGGAAAATTGTGCAAACACTGCATTCTGCACGAGTGTGCCACTTCAGTCTGCTCATGCCTCAATAAGGTGCAGGAAAAAAGTCTGCCCTGGCATTTGTTTGAGAACTACACCCAAAACATTTATAATGGACAGACCTGAGTAGGCATGTTTGGTTTTTTTTACTTTGTGCATACTGGCTATACACAAGTTTCAAAAATCCATTACTGTGTGATTGGTTTAAGTAACAGGTGCAATATAATTTTATGCTGGTCGAGGGCTGTAGTAAAAAGAATAAAGCAAACCTGTTTGCTTATACAACCTTTCCCCATCCCTGTCATCATGGTATCTCATCAGCAACACCTTTAATTCTTGCCTGTGGGGTCTCTCTGGATATGGATATTCTGCATAGGCAAGAGCATAAAATCACAGAATCATAGAATGGCTTGGGTTGGAAGGGTCACACTGTCAAGCTAAAAATAAGCTTCATGTTACATGTAACACATTACATGTTATAAATCATGTAATTAGATACTCCCCAGGCAGATGTACAGAATGTCAATTTGCTTGGGCATTTCTTAGTTTACGTAACTTTATTCAGCCGTAGCAAGACTGGTCTGCCAGCCTTCACAGATCCTGTTAGCTTCCACTTCTTTCATTTGTTATAACATTCCACTCTTTGGCTTGCTTGTTTGTTTCAAGGGTTTGCACAGAAGCTCCAAATAGCCTCTTCTCCCTTTTCATACACAGCCCAAATAAGGCCATAGAGGAAAAACCTCACTCTTCACAACGAAGGAGCAGCTAACCTGTGACAGTGCATTGTTGGTACTAGTCAGCCTGAGACAACAGTACAAGATGATTCAAACTCAAGAGGAGAGACTGGTAGAAAGTGATACTCTACGCACATTCTCTCAGAGGATCTGCCCAAAACCCACATTACAGGCTCTAAAAACAGATCTATAAAGCATAAAAGCAGCCCCGATCAAATGACAGACCACAGGGTACACACAGCTACTGTAAATGAGCAGAGGAACCTACATCATTGAAATTGATGCTGTGTTAAAGAATAGGTTGCATTTTAAGATTTCAGACCAGAACAAGACTAACAGACACAGTAACAAGACTATCCACTCTGAAGACAAAGACTTTAGTTTGGCACACAGTAAACCTACACAGGTCCAGGCATAAGCACAAAGTGCAGTGGGATTAAGAATTTTTGTACTGTTGGAAACTCATTCTTGTGGAGGGAACGCTTTGTTCAGAGGTTAAAGATCCCTATTAGTGCCCACTACTTTCCCTAAGCCGGTTCTTCTACCACACCAATTAAATTCCATCTACCCTTCTTTGCTAGCCGTTCCTTGGGTCCAAACTTAGAGAAATTGGAGGTACTTATAGGTGACAGTGTTCATCCAGAATCCAAGCAAGCTTTCCAAGAATTTCACTATGCATCAAAAGGATGATGGGCTAAGAAACCTCAATCAAGTATACCAAGTGTCAGTCTGTTTACTGATCAGAACAAAATGGAGAGGACGTAGATACATTGTGCTGTAGAGTAAGCAGTAAGCCGCACACCTCACACCTCTTCCACATGTTATTTTTCCAGTAATTTACAGATATGCAAACTTCTATGAAATATGAAATAGTTCCAAATATACATGTAAAGAAAGTTATAAGGAAAAAAAAAAAAGAGAGAGGGAAAAAAAAGTGGTGAGGTGGACATTTTTGCAAAGACTTAGCATTAAAAAGAACCCTCAGATATTCTTCTGGAATATTTGGAAGATGTTCTCGAGTGACAGAGCAGGAAAATCATGTAATTCTTTTCAGGAAACAAAAGATGAGCTTTGACAGCAGCTGTAAGACAGCATTTCTGGACTCCTCAGTCTTCAGTCAGCCCTTTAAACATGAAATGATACCCACGTTCAAAACATCTTTGCCTCTGTTAAGCATGCTTTCAGAATTCTTATATCTAACAGAAAATCCATCCTCTAATAGGCATAAGTAAATGAAAAAGAACTCTTCCTCCAGACTGTCCACAATATAAGGAACACTTCTTGCAAAGTGACTGAATGAATGTCTGTTAAAGCAGAACAGAATCAAAATCCTATTTGCACAAGGGTTCCACAGCCACCCACACCCACTGATGGTTATGAGAAAAATTAGTGCATGTAACACACAAATTAGGCCCCTGAAGCTGCCTCAGTGATACCCAGTGCCACGCCAATGTGTGTATTAAAAGGGTTTGGCACACAGCTGTCACCATCCAGCACACAAACAATTCCACACCAACATTTCCCTATCACGAGTCTCCTTCTGTTTACACAAGGAGCAAATGATCCAAGCACAGCCCACAGCAGCATTCCCAGAAGTTCTGCTGAGAAGGGAAGGGCTGAGAGCTGCTGTGCAGGACTGTGTCCCAAAGGCAGCCACAACAACTTTCTGCCGCAGACACGCTGGTGCCAGAGGCCCACCATCCTGCCACAGAAGAGTCACTCGACCACAGTTCAAAACTTCACAGGCAGACATATTTCTGTTCCACGTTACTGTCTTCAGTCAGAGCTCCAAACTACACAGCTATAAGGAGAATTCATTAGGGGCTGGGCTGAAGCTACCACCAGGAAATCCAGTTATGTGCTTGGTACGTTCATTTGTTCAATACCCAAACTCAGCTGGAACAGAAATTCCTGGTTAGGAATAAGAACACTGACAATAAATAAATGAACCATCATTCAGCTTTTCTGTTTTATGCCATTTCTGCCTTCCTCAGCAACAGTGCCATTCAGGGGCTAGCATCTACTCTTGGGGTAATGGAGCAAAGAGAGATATCTTCTTGTCCTAAGGGAAAGAAAGAGGATAAATTGTCCAATGATTTTGCTAGATCACACCCTTTTGTAAACAGATTTCTTCATGACCCATTTCACAGGATCACAGAATGGTTTGGGTTGGAAGGGACCTTTAAGATCACTGAATTTCAACCCCCTGCTATAGTCAGGGACATCTCCCTCTAGACTAGGTTACTCACAGGCTCATCCAGCCTGGCCTTGAATGCTTCCAGGGAAGAGGCATTCACAACCTCTCTCGACAACCTGTTCCAGTGTCTCACCACCCTCACTTCAGGAATTTCTTCCTCATATCTAGTCAAAATCCACCCTCTTCCAGTTTAAAGCCATTTCCCCTTGTCCTGTCTCTACCTGCCTGTATAAAAAGTGACTTTTGCACATGAGAAGAAAACATCAATGTTCTCTTTTCTTCAGAAGAGATCTCAGAGAGGAAGCAGGCATGCTATTCCCAAAATCATGCTGTTCCTGAAACTATTGGCTTGATTCAGACCAACACAAAAGGAGCTGCAGGATGGAGGATGGATCCATTACGCGCTCAACAAAGCAGGATTTAAAGCAGACAGCCTAAAGAGGATGCTTAGTTGGACAAGTCTAATTGACACAGCTTTACTACACACAGTAGCAGGGGCTGTGAGCAGAGAAGGGACTCCATCAGGTGATCTGTAAAATTCCACTAACAAGGTGCTTAAAGAGGATTCTGTCATGTTACCAGCTTGTCAGCACTCCAGAAAGGCAGCAAACAGACACCACAGAGGGAACAAATTGTAACACCCTTCAAACCTCAGAATTTCTTTCTAGAGGGAAAAAGACCATATTAAAAGACTTCCATTATGCATACCTACAAACTACTCTTTGTCATGGTATGATATTTGCATAATGACATTCCATCCCAGCTCCTGGAATCTTCCAGGCATGCAGGAATGCTGCAGAATTCAAAATACTCCATCTACTTGGCTGGAGATCTATATATTTTATATACTAGAACACCCTCTGGATTAAAAAGTAAGCTCCATGTGCCACATCGATGCCCAAAAATCAGTTTCAGATGTAAGCTTCCAGAAGTTATAATATTCAGAAACCAGAAGAGATACTCTATTGTAGGAACAAGCTGATTACAGGCTGCTTCAACCTGCAGTCCTTTGCATTTTCCACCACACCCTCTTGAGCTACAATTACAAACGGCAAAAGCAAAGTTATACAGACAAAAATACTTGTTGACAGCATTTTTTCAGACCACTACTAAGAGTGGCTTTTTGGATTTGTTTTTCCCAGGAAGATTCCTTTCCCCAGACGTTTGGGTTTTGTTTGTTTTCGTTCTTTTCCCTCAATCAATGAGGAAAAACTCCAGCCTCAGCAAAGTGCTATGAACATCAGTTTGCATTACAGCACTTGGACATTTCAGCATCTAACACTTCTTTTGCTATTGGGCCTCTTCTCATTTTGGTTACTGAGTCTGACTGAAAAAAAAAAAAATTCCCACTGTTGAGCAGTTAGCTGTCTGCATTAGCTGAAACCACTACTGCACTGCTATTTGTACTGGTGTAAATGACTTTCTCAAAGTCAAGTAATGTAGGCAATGCTGTTTTCAGTACTTACATCCCTTATTCACGGCGATTACCCTAATGGTAGCCATAGGGAAACCTCCCAGCACACAAAACATTCCACAGTACAACATTCCAAACAACCCATTGCTCCATCTGTGACACCACAAAGAAAACACGGAGCAGTTTTCTACGTTAGCCGTAGGCTTGCAAGGACTTCTTTTCGCAAGGGAGCATAATGTTGGCACCTCCTGTGGACTATAGCACCAATGCTCCATGTATTTGAGGTGTAAATTCCTCACTCAGACGTGTTGCTGACTGCATCTACATTGATTTTTTAGTTTATTTGAGGCACTTGTGCATTTTTTGAAGCAAATACTCCTGCTTATTATACATCGGTTCAGTTTCAGTGTTGATACGTAGGCAAATTAAGTTCTTTCACAGAGTGGCCAGGGTTGGAAGGGACCTCAAGGATCATGAATCTCCAACCCCCCTGCCACAGGCAGGGCCACCAACCTCCACATTTAATACCAGACCAGGCTACCCAGGGTCCCATGCAGTCCTTTCCTTTCCAAGGAAACCAACCTAGAAATTCTGTTCAGATGCACACCAAGTGTTCTTGGCCCATACAGAGTTATAAACATCCCAATCAACAATTAGCTTTCTGGAGAGTAATGAACCATTTGCGTGTTAGGGGCATTTCACCCAGGAACTACACTAAATCTAGTCTAGAGTAGAAGTCTCTGAATCACACACACTCTACCACAACTATTTTTTCCTACTCCTATGCTCCATATAAGCCAGTATGCCAGTTGTGTAGGTCTTCCCAGGCCAACCCAGGGTGCCATGTTCTTTTACCTGACTCTCTCTTCTTCAGCTTTTTTAAGCTCTGCGTCCCGTTGCAGCACCTTCATTATTGCCTCTTGTTCCTCCTCTGTTAGGAAGCTTAGGTCAATCATCTTGTCGTGTGTGTATGGGCAGGGCTGAAGTGTCCAGAAAGATCTTAAATCCTGCTGAGGAAGACAGACTTATGGTCTCTCTTAAAGGTATAAAAGAAGTCTTTTTTAGCAGGCACTGAGAAAGCTGGACCACGTCACTATCACGGATTTAAAAAACCACCAAGATTGCTTTGTTGCAGTTGAGTAAGTGCATGTTTCCTTAGATTAGAGATTTTGGGGAAGGAGCTGCATTGCTGCTTGCCATTGCAATGATGTTTTCTCAGCTTGTCCTCTCAGCTCTGCTTCTTGGAGTAACAGTTCATTGACCCAGTACATCCGGTGTTTAAGAGCAACCAAAACATTCCCTAAAAAAGAGACAAGGAAGAACAAGCTATAACATTAGCTATCAGAGAAGTAGATCACATAGGCTTTTTTTTTTTTTTTTTTAATTAAAATAAACAAGTTTTTCAGTGTGATTAAACCACTTTACGAAGTGGTCACTTCAAGTCAAACCTGTTTTACAGGCCTCTTGAACAAGATGGTCAGGAAAATACACTGCTTTTGAATATAGTGACTCACACCCTGCAACACAGAACCAAGCGTCATTTAAATGACAATTTAAAAATAAATGCATTTTAAGTTGCTCATAAAGTCAGCAGAATAATTTGGGCAAGAGAAGGAAGGAGAAGAAAATACAGTCAAGAACACTAGCATATATCCATTTAAAGTAAAAGAAGCATGTAGTCACAAGCACAGACATTGTGTACAAGGGCACATAAAACCTGTGCCTATTGTTATCATACACAGATCAGAAAGAGCCACATATCTCTGAGGAAAAATTCACTGCTGCTTGCAGTCCTGATTCAGAGTGTAGAGGCTGAGTGGGAAAAAGTAACAAAGAAAAACAAAAATAAAATAACAACCCACCACCAACAACCAGCTAACATTTAAGCTAAAACTCAGGAGCTTGCCATGCTGGTTTATGATGATAGCATTAGCACATTTCTAGGCCACTTGTTTTTGGCACCAACCAACCAAAGCAGAACTATCCATTGAACTTTTGGACCCTACTCCACTCCCAGCAAATCGTGAGCCTTGCCCTCCACACCTGTCTTCCTGCTCCAGGTCTTCAAAGAGGCCTTTCTCCTTCCAGGAGAACAGAAGGGCAGCAGTCATCACAAGCCCTGGAGGAAGAGCCCTAAGGAAGTAATCAGAAGGCTGCCAAGCACAACGTGTTGCAGCAGCGAGATGGGAGGAGGCTGGGAACGCAGAACAATTTGTATGCTCCAGTTCAAGACTTCAGGAGCATGTTCTCCAATTACTGCAGTGCCTCTTTCTGAAGGATTTTATCTTGCCTGTGAGAAAAATGTTTATCGCTCATAAACATTTCTTATTATTGACTCAGAACAACAACAACAACAAAAAAACAGTTTTAAGAGATTATTTCTTTAGATTTCCAAATGGGAATTCTACAACAGACTTTTGACCCACCCAAAACAAACAGCACTGAAGGATCAAGTACCATGTTTGCAAAGCCAGGTTCTTACATTAAAACCTTTAAGCAGCAGTTATTAGCTGCTGGATGGAGTCAAAATACCTCTATTCTTCTGACTTGAGCTCAAGTCAGGAAGGAACTGTTTCCAGAAGCATACTGAAGTTTGAATAATTCTCCCTTCCTTTATATCAGCCCACAGCATAGGAAGGAAGTTCAGAGTATCTATAGTTTCCACAGGCTGCAATCCAATTTAGTTTACAAGATAGGAATTCAACTTTTACTCACAATATTTTACCAGTAATAGCATATAATTATGTCAGGAATATGATCCCATGTAGGCTTAATCACTGCGCTACAGAACATATGTAATGAAAGCAAACTAATGGCTACAGAAACATCTTGAATGCTGCAGTAACATGAATCTCACTGCTTTATCCAAACCAAATTGAATCTTTAAGTAGTAGTTTTAAAAACTGTTTTGTCTCTGTTTCATAGGCCATGGTACCCTCTGGAAAAGCAGATGACTAATCACTTACAAGATAATTCCAACCACAAAAGGCAAAAGCCTCTTCCTGAAAAAGCTCAGAAGAATACGGTTGGAGGAGGAATCACAGAATCACAGAATTGTAGGGGTTGGAAGGGACCTCCAGAGATCATCGAGTCCAACCCCCCTGCCAAAGCAGGTTCCCTACAGAAGGTCGCACAGGTAGGCATCCAGGCAGGTCTTGAACATCTCCAGAGAAGGAGACTCCACCACCTCCCTGGGCAGCCTGTTCCAGTGCTCCGTCACCTCACTGTAAAGAAGTTCTTGCGCATGTTTGTCAGCTGTGTCTATGTCAGGGTCTCTGAGTGTTTCAGAGTGACTGTTTCATTGATACAATGAAACCAGAGGGGGAAAAAAAACAAAAACAGAACAACTTGAATTCAGTGGAAGCCTCAGAAGCATCTGAAGTGACAAATCTGATGAGAGGCAGCAGAGAAGCTGTTACTGAACAGATCTCCTATTAAAAAAGGATAGCTACTGGCGCAGCCTTGTAGCTTTCTTGCACTGTACACTGAACATTAAAATCATGCAGGTAATCCTTGTGCTTGCTCCTCTGGTCCCAGAAGTTGTAAGCAATTCAACCATGAGAGGAAAACAAGATATTAGCACTACTCAAGGAAGCATCACCTCTAAAAACAGCACATCTTACAGATGTGGAAGGCAGCTGCAGCCAGGTTAATGCTCATCTCAGTCCCTCTACAGAAGGCAACAGCCTTCTGCATGTGGTTATGTTTGGCTGCCACATTCAGGTTCTCCATGATTCATGCAACATAACTGCAATGAAAAGTGGATATTTTATATTTCTTATGTCTGGCCAATCATGTCTGTAAGGAATCTATTGTAGGAACAGTATCTTTAAAGGAGGCTGATGGAGGGTTATGTTGTTTAACAGTTTAATTCAAAAATCTAAAAGAAACAGTTGGGCAACACCCACTGAACAGACCCAGGGGAGCTCAAGGCAAGGCAGGGTGGGACTGAACTTCCCAGATACCATCATTCTGTAGAGCAGATTCTGCAACTAAATTTGCACTGCCACTTTTTTGCTCACTTGCCTAGGCATAAGTAGTGCAGCTGACCTTTTAGGTTTCTTCACAAATATAACAACGTAATGGATCATTTAAAGCATGACTGGGTACCTGAAAAACTGGCTCCTAATCTCACTGGATAAGCAGTTAAAGAAAAATGACCTAACAATAATTTTTCTTCCTTTAATGTGTATCATCCATATGCTGAAGTGTGTACTGTGATCACAAGTCTTCAGTCACTGGAACCATGCCAGAGACAAACTGAAGGCAAAACAGATGTTAGCCTCTGCATAAACAAGGCTGAAAACCTGTGTGTGTGTGTGTGATGTACACTGCCAGCCTCGGGAGACCTGCTAACACAAGCTATGGCAAGGCTGGCTTTCTGCAGGAGATCGTAAGCACTGATGGTACAAAATGTTGGCTTAGGGAATAGCATTTGTTGGAGATCTACAGCCAGATTTCAAAAATTAAAAATAAATCAATGCTTTTGTCCAGTTTGAATCACACACCACCACTCCAAGCTTAATCCTTCCACTTTCTTTTTCCTTCTTCTTTCATTCTTCACGTACTTTTTCTTAAATGTCCTGTACGTGCCAGAAAGAATAGAGAGGCCTCAACATTCATGTTTGGCAAGAGAGCATTCAGACCTAAGTTTCAAATAAAACAGAAAGATTCACAACAGACTGATTAAATGGAAATTGATAGAACCACCAGACCGATGATCTCTGGAGAAAAGCCTGTCATCTTATATTGTAGACTAATACTTGTGACACTTGGGATATGAGGCATCATTTTTATTTTTTTTTCCCCTAAAATTCAAATGAAGCCCCATCAAAAATCTTTCCTTCCATAAAAGGTTTCTACTCCCTGCAATAAACAGGAATCTGAAATTATGCTTTCTGTAATTCATGCATGAAAGATTCTATGTCTTGGAAATAAAAAATAAAAATAAGGGCTGAGATGCACTGTACTTCTCGCCACCCTCAACTCTTAAGTTGCTCACATGTGCCAAGTGCTTTAGGTCAGGCAGTCATCCAAAAATGGTGCCTTATAAAGTTTCTCAAAACCTCCTTAGGCAGTTGAATGTCTCCATGCCTTCCAGGGAGGCTTTGCATTTGTCTGGAACATGTTGTAACAGCAAGGCTGCTTTGTTGGCCCTGCACAGACCTTTATTTCTCCCCTACTTTCTCCCACGTTGGAAAAGAATCTGAATTCAAATACTGCACTGCAAACATTATACCATATTAAGAAGGACCACAGTCATAGCTTAGGTTTTACATTTGCACTCAGTGCATATATATGGGATGTAATGAGGGAGAGGTAAGGAAGATGTTGGAGTGGTTTGTTATGACTGATATTAAATTCATCTACATGATCAGAAACCAAGCAGGAAAACCCCGGTCAGTTGGTCCAGTCAAATCAGCAGAGCTTCCTTTTACACGCTGCAACCTCAGCATGTCTCAGATCTACATTTCAAAAGTGCCTTCTGTACTCCTTGTGCACTAGGCCTAAGCTGCTGAAGTTTCACTTGAGAGAATCTGTCTACAGCCAACGCCTTCTCACAGGAAAAAGCAGGTGACAGCCCATCCAATAACTTGGTCTGCTTCTGCAACCCTATTTGGGCCAACTCCTCCAGCAGAACAGCTACCCTTACAGCCTGGCTACCAACAGCCTGCATCTGTATGTACCTCCATACCATACGTATGGTATGAAGGTACATATGCTTTGACATATCAGCGCTAGCAGCTAGGATGAGTTGGAAACCCAGAAATGAGGCAATGGGAAGTTGAGGAAGAAAGATAAACTGCGCAATGTAGCAACTTGCACCTGCAGGGAAACTCATTCTCAGACAAAAGGCAACTAAGTTTGTCCCCAGCACTCATTTGCAGGAAATCCTTTATTTTGGAACACAAGGAGCAAGGAGAAGTTTGCAGGACTGGCTCCCATTAAAAGGTCACATCAGGCAGTGACAGTATTTCGCAAAAAATAAAATAAATTAGGCTTAGAAAATAGAATTTCTCGAAACACATGAGGCAAATCTCTTGGAGGAAGAACAGCTAATTAAACTAAATGCCAGTGTTGGCAGGAGCACAAATAGTTTAAGATGGTCATGAGTGTATTTGCACAGAAGTTCAGAGGACTGCAGAGTTAAGTTTGGGTAACGGAGAAAGAAAACCAATTAACTCTCAAGAGGAACTTAAGTTCTTAGTTAAGAATCTGAAACATGGGTGCCTGCAGTTTTAAGGCCTGAGCTTAAACACACTCAAGGTGACTTGTTGTCAATGTAATTCTTGACAGGACAAAAGGAAAGAGATCTTCCAGTAAGATATGCATATCTGTAGCCAATCCAGCCGCTCTTTCTCGAGGTGTTATCAAAGCCTTTTCAAAATGATACCAGCTAGATGTACACAGCATATCACAGTTCCAGCAGTCCCAGAGACTAAACTGAAGAGCAGTATTTGCCAACAACACGAGTTTTTAGCCAGTGGGAGGCACATTTTATCTAGCTGGTCGCAAAGTGGAAGCTGGTGTTGGAACCTTTGCAGAAGTAGGGAATATCTAATAGGGCAATACTAAAGTTGCTCGTACAAACACATAAATGCTTTATTTTATATCCACATGCTCTCCTGTGCAATGTTCACTAACATGCAGATAAAGAAAAGAACCTACTTATCTGCAATTACAGTACAACTGCTCAAGGCAGCCACAACAGGAAAACGAGAGAACAAACCCTGCTCCCACCTTACCCTTGCTTACCAGAACCAAGGAGATTCCTGTTGTTTTTTACCTGCAGAGTAGCTGCAATCTGAAAACAGTCTTACTGACAGCCTTGCTGATATCAGACAGGCAAACATTCTGGTTTACACAAAATGCACTCTGAACAAGAGAGCAAGAATGTTAACAGCAAGTAGAAAAGAGTTAACAACTGAAAATTGGAAGAGGAAAGAACAATTTGCTTTGGCTGTAGCCTAATCCCTCTAATAACGTATGGCTGCTTGCCATTTCTTTCATAGGACTTTCATTGGATACTGGCAGCAGTGCCTAGGAATGTGTCTCTCTATACCTGCTATGGCACACAGTCAGTAGGACAGTGGTTTCAAAAGATGTGGTCTCAGGAATAACAGGTTCATAAATTAAAGAGGAAACTAATGGAAACACATCTAAATGATGCTTTTCCACTGACTGTTGTTCATCAGGTTGACTGTAGATGCCAAATCATTTATTCTTAACTGTCTGAAGTACAAAACTACGCACAAGATCTTGAGTTCTCTACTAAGCAGCTTTAAAATTACAGAAATTTCAGCAAGTTAAGAACAATAATGCATACATTTCATAAATTGTGAGGCTCTGATTCTGGTTGTTCTTCCTTGCATATCATACTCCTACATATGCACCAGCATACTGTTTGATTGAATAATTATTCATATGCAAGAACTACATTCTTCTAGCTGATAATTCTCTTTGCCAGTGATTGCAAAACAAATAATACGTTCTCAGGGCAAGGGATATTTCAATATCACAGTGAAAATGGCTCAATCTTCTGGATCTCTGAAGGCAGAGCATTGTTTATTGTAACCAGTGATTCTCATCTCCCTTTACAGAGGGAACAGACTCCCTCCAAAAAGAGAATAGGGAGGCTAACAAGACACAAGCTCCCATCATCACTGCCTCATTCTTTATGCAGTCACTGGCATTAGACCCACCAACGATGCTGCTCAACAGAGTGTTGTTATGTCTTGCCTGAAAAAAGGTTTGAATAAAACTGCATTATTTAATAGAGGTTGGAGGCAAACTGTTGCATGAAGTTATCTTCTGACCTGACACACTTCTGTATTTGATGGCTAATTCCTTTGGAATTTTTCACCACTATAACTACAGATTCAAATCCTAGGATGTGTTTTCTACATTAATCCCATTGATATGGATGGTTTAAAAAAAAAAAAAGTGATTAAAAAAAAAAAAAAACTGCTGTAAAATGTATTCTTGTTTTTTAGTAAGTTTTAGCCTTAGGCAAATCAAAGTGGTTCCCAATACAGAGGAGTTAGAACTTTAGATATTGGAGACCATGGCAGACCTACCCTACCTCTACCCTGCCTCCTTGCTCTCCTGTATTAATTAGCACAGATGTGGGCATTTCCATTGAGGACTCTGGTCTGGAAAAAGTACCACTGAAGACTGGGAGTAAGCAAAGCAGTACAGCAAATTAACAAGTATTTCCCATCAAATGGCTACTGGGAAGTGACACATTTCCTACTTGTTGTTTGAATAATCTTTTATATATGAAAACAAAGAACACCAAACTGCAGTTTCTGTAGTCACTGTGCAGTCCAGAATGTTGCTAATGCAGAAGGCTTTCTAAACAAGAGGACCTGTCACATCTCTGCAAGACTCCTTTCCTACTCTCACTCCTCATTTGAGTTAATCAACTGTGGAGCTCTTAATTGAGCAAGGACAGCAACCATTACTGACACACTGCTCTTCCCCCGCAGTGTTTGTAAAACTAGGAACCTTCGGGCAGACAGGCTGCCTCTTCTACGCATCAGAGAACTGCTGCTCAAGTCACTGGCAACAGCACATTTCCTCTGCAAGATGCTACACAGTATAGTTTCGTGGGACAGTTTGAGCACAAATCGGGTGGGGAGCATTTCACATCATCCTTGCCTCAGAACCAACCCTTACTTATCTAAACCACTCTTTTTAATTTGACATTGCAGGCCCCCTACTTTTCAGGCACCAATTTAACTGTGACTATGGTTTCGTTTAATTTGCTGTACACAAATAGCCAGCAAACAAACCAAGCCCTTTGGCTGTCCTTTCTCATGAGATGACAGACTAACCACAAACCTCCGACACTCACTCATGCACATTTCTTAGCTTAAAATTACCCAGCTAATAATTGATGTAATCTGAAAGCTCATAGGAAAGCTTGTGTCAGTTAATGAGGTCCTTGCTGCAGTAACAGAGGCACACACCTATCTGAAAGCAGGCTTTTACACAGCATCCAACTGCCAGCAGAAGTCAGGTGCCAGTGAGAAAGGAATGTTCTTCGGGACTCCTGCAGTCATGGAAACGATACATAAGTAGAGAGAAGGGAGAAAAGTCAGTCTGGAGATGGGTGAGGTAAAAATGAAAATGGTTATAGAAATGTTAGCCTACACTCTGCAAATAAAATGCAGTCAGAATTACCAGAATTAAGTTTTGCAGTGAAGTTTTTGTAGAATCATAGAATGGTTTGGGTTGCAAGGAATCTTAAAGAGCATATAGTATTAACCCTCACAATTACTATTGTTAACAAACACATTGAAAGAAGTTTGCTATAGCTCCCTATTAAGAGGGAAATATTTATCACCTAGTTAAAAATACTGTTATGCACTGGAAATCTGTATAACATAAATACTCCATCTGCTACCACAGTTATTCTGGCTAAATCTGAAGCCAGCAAGCAGCAATGCCAGTCCTCCTTAATAGTGATCTTAAATTGCAATAATAACAGGAAGTCCATCAGCCATGAAAACTTCACTCACGAGTTGGCCCAGCCCAGCCGTGCAAACAGCTGCGTGCAAAACAGTCTTTTCCCAAATGCTGATAGCCAGAACCAAACAGAGCAAGGTAGATGGTTCCAGGCAGAGTCAGCACTGTGATACAAAGAAACCTAAGAGGGCCCAATGAGAGCTAAATCCAATTGCTCTATGTGAGAGGTGAGAAGCAGGGAACAGCTTCTGCAGCAGTCTGCAGTTGCACTGATGAGGTGCCATGTCAAGTTGTCCTGTGTGAATTGGATTTGACATACAAATCCTGCTGAAAAGCACAGGGATGGGAAAGAAGGAGAGGGAGGTTGTGATTGAAATTGTTTTTCAGATACAGTGAGCAAAATAAGGAGTTTAGTTTGTGAGGCTAGATTTCAGAGTATAATACCTGTGCCTAACAAAGGTATTTAGTTTTGCAGGAGTGGCTCATTCTTTATGAAGATAGCAATGCAAGGCACAGCCCAGTGGCCATGGCACACCCTCAAGAAGAGAGGGAAACCAGAACCCCAGAACCATTTAATCCAAGAGGATTCAAACACACATGTCCTCATTTACCAAATATATGCCAGTCTATGAAGGTTTCATTTTCTTCACTTTTAACTCTCCCTGAGACTGTGCCACCAAGGATTAAACTGCCCATCCAACTAAAAGTTCATTAAAGATATGATGCAACCTTGCGAGCAGAAACAAGAAACCCAGGTCTACTTCCTCGCAGTCAGGCTACCACATTCCGGACCAAACTTTCTCTCCTGACTCTCCTTCTCACCCAGTGAGCCCTGCATTCCTAGTTGCACAGCAGTCCAGCGGTACTTGGACTGAAGGAAAAGGAGATTAAACAAGAACATGATGACCTGTTTCACAGATTTTTAAAAGCCTGACAGTGAAACTGATACTACGTTCGTTTGGGCTACAGGAGATGCTGGGAGGAGGTTTCCTTTGTATGAGATAGGTTTGGAAAACTCAAGGATGCAGCCAAAGCAGAGGTCTGCTGCACCCATAAGGTAAAAGTAGACCAAGATGCCTTAGCATTACCTTGCTTTAAACCTGGGTGTAAGCACACTAAAATATGGTATTTGTAACAACATATATATGCATTTCGTAATACTGTAATATTACTAGTAGTATTTTATAACATAGCTATGCATAAATATGTAAAACTGCAAATGGAAGGAAGCTCGTGGTACACTTGACCAAGCTATGCACAGGAAAACATACAAATAGTAAAATTTGCAAGATAAGAGCAAAACATGTATAACAGACAAGAAAGATGTGTGATGAAAGCTGAATAAACCTGCAGAACAAAGAGGAGATAAGTCTGATGGAACAAGAATAATCCTGCAAAATAACTAAGATGTTGGCAAGGCCAGGGTAAGTCTTCCTTCCCAAAACTGTGGCAGAAGCAGATGAGATCACACCCTTTTCTTCTGGGGAGGCAGCAGGGTGCATAAAACACTAAGCAAAAGAGATAGTAATTAATGAATATCATAAAACTCTCACTTCTATTCCAGTATCTCTGATGAAAGGCACTTCCATGCACTGCAGCCGTCAGTGTTAAACACCGGGCATCAGCTCCATGGCACTGTGCAGCCACAACTTTCCAGCTTTGAGCCCCCACAGAGCGCTCAGCAGTACTTGCAGGGCTGTTCAACAGCCTGGCCCCAAATTTAAGTGACCTTTATCCTGCAGTGACAACCACATACAGCAGATCCCTCAACGCACACACACACAACCAAGCTCACTGGATTTTAGGACCAAGTCCCATTCCACAAAGTCACTTTAGAGACAGAACAAGACACCGTTCATGCTTCAAAATTAAAGTGCTTCCTATTTAGCATCTCACAGCCGAGATCTGACAGCCCTGTTTAAACGAAAAAGGCCGCCTGTTATTAAAGCATCGTTCTGCAGAAGCCAGGCTCAGGTGAGGCGTGACAGTCAGGCACAGCACCCGGCGCACCCCTCAAGGGGCTCCCCTCAGCGGGACACCCTCCTGGACCCCACCGCCATCTCCGCGGCTTACCCCATCCCTCCGATCAGCAGCAAGCCCGAGCTACCTCATCCCATTCGGCAGCCGCCCGTCTGAGGAGAGGGAGGTGGCGGCTGGAGGCGGCTCCGACCCGCGCCAATGGCGGCGCCACGTCCCGCAGAGCTGGGCGGCTCCTTGGGCTCGCCCTGCCCGCCTCGGGCATCGGGAAGGCTGCTGAGGGCACGGCGGGCGCTGCGCTGTGCGGGACGGGGAGAAGTTGTGTGGGGCAGGTTTGAAATGGCGCGCAGGCTCTGCAGCTGTGAGTGGGTATCGCAAGTGAAGTCCGCAGGTGTGACGTGAGGGAAAACGATCCTTGTTTCACTTTACCTGGTGAGATGTAATTTAAGAAGTGTGAAGATACTCCTGTTTCACAGAATGGCCAGGGTTGAAAGGGACCTCAAGGATTATGAATCTCCAACCCCCTGCCACACGCAGGGCCAGCAACCTCCACATTTAACATCAGCCCAGGCTGCCCAGGGCCCCATCCATCCTGGCCTTGAACACCTCCAGGGACGGGGCATCCACAACCTCTCTGGGCAGCTGTTCCAGCACCTCACCACTCTCTGAGTAAAGAACTTCCCCCTGACATCCAACCTAAATCTTCCCTCCCTCAACTTAAAACCATTTCCCCTTGTCCTGCAGTTATCAACCCTTTCAAAGAGTTGACTCCCCTCCTGTTTGTAGGCTCCCTTCAGGTACTGAAAGGCTGCAATGAGGTCACCCTGCAGCCTTCTTCTCTCCAGGCTGAACAAGCCCAGCTCCCTCAGCCTGTCTTCATAGGGGAGGTGCTCCAGCTCCCAGAGCATCTTCGTGGCTCTCCTCTGGACCCTCTCCAACAGTTCCGTCTTTCTTACTGGGGGCTCCAGACCTGCACACAGTACACCAGATGGGACCTCACAAGAGCAGAGTAGAGAGGGACAATCATCTCCCTGTCCCTGATGGCCACCCCTGCGAGTACTGATAATACAAGTAGTGATAATAGAGGATTCAGTCATCTGTTTGTCCAGGGTGCTGCCGTGGGTGCTTTTCTGTTGAATCAGTGGCACAAAATACACATTCTGCCATTTGCGTTCCAGCAGTGCCTCTCCCTCAGCAGCACTGGGGCAGGTTGCCCAGCGAGGTGGTGGTGCCCCGTCCCTGGGGACACTGCAGGTCAGCCTGGATGGGTTCTGCACACCTGACAGCTGTATGTGTCCCTGTGCATTGCAAGGGAGGTGCACTGGGTTACTTTTATACATCCCTTCTAATTCAAACTATTCTGTGAAGCTGGAGGTCTCTGGAATAGAGAGAATAGAGAATGCTTTGTATGCATTATCTGCTGAAGTTCTGGATTTTAATAGGGCTTCATTTCAATTAACATGCATCCAAGTGAAGTGGAGGCCTTGTTAAAGCACAAAACTCAGTTACTCCCTGTAATAATTTTCATTCAAGTGCCTCTTATCCATACATCCTGTTTATTCAGCTTAATGCAGTGTTCTAATCTGTATGTATTCAAATCCAGGCTGCCCTTCTGCTAATGTACCTTGGTGCATTAATTAGAAATGGGGACCCTTTTGACACTCTTGACACATGGAATGTATTTTTCTATTGTGTTTGATATCTCTTTTTTTTCCCCCTCTCACAGCAGTCCCAAAGTGGAAAAAAAGAAGGCAGTGGTGAGCCTGAGCCTTTCCAGAGCAGACAGCCGTGTGACGCCTGGCCCCTGCCGGATGGAGCCGGAACTGATGGGTCTTACACCCATCGCCCAAAACAATTTCCTCTTTAATTAAGGAGTTTTGAACCAGGGCTTAGGGAAAAGCAGCTACTTGCTGCTGGGAAGCTCCAGGTGTCAGTGGGCCCCAGCATCGTTAGGACCACTGGCTGTGATTATGGAGCAGCAAAACTACGTATGGGGTTTGTGCTGTGTCTGTTAACATATTTCTTCTCTCCTTCTCACAGCTAGTTCAGTGATTTGTTCTTGAAGGAGATTCAGGGGAAACCCATGGCATTATGGATGCAAGGGCTGTCCTAGCTCAGCCCAGTCACCAGTCTGCAGTAAAGAGCAAATTGAAAATACCTGAATGATGTGAAAGGACCCTCAGACTGATTCCTCAGTAACCTAAGATGGTAAGAGCCTGTAACCAGCATACAGCCTGTGCCCACAATTGCTCTGCACTGTTGTAGTTGATCTGAAGACTGATTTTTGTGTAAGCGTGGCTGTTTTTCACATAAATTGAGCCTGAGCACTCTCAAGGTAGCACCAAGAAGATAAAAAGTAGTGCTGGAATGACAGGTCCTGCCAACCCTGCTTCCCTATATAGCCTCAGAATTATAAAGCTCTCAGCACAGTGAGAAGACATAAGTGTGTTTTTGATTGCAGTGTAACAAAGTGTTATGGCATCTTTAGAAAACAAACAAAAATCCACAGGTAAATGGTGTGGTACTGGCAGGTTCAAAGTTGGATGGAACCCTGGGCAGCCTGATGAGGTGAGTTGCAACCCTGTCCATAGCAGGGGCTTGCAGCTCGATGATCTTTAAGGTCCCTTCCAACCTAAGCCATTCAATGATTGTGTGGACAGCCCTCACTTTGTACTCTGCCGTCATCTCCTGGGCCCCAAAGTCTGTTGTTTTTTTCAAATAAGTCCTTCTGCACAGTGAGGCTATGTGGTGAAACACTTTTCTCTTTATATCTAAGAGATGATTTTCATAAAATCATAGAATCACAAGGTTGGAAAGGACCTATGAGATCATCTAGTCCAACTGTCCTTTCATCACCATTACTACCACTAAGCTACTAAACCATGAAGATTCAGATTACACAAGACTTAGAATGGGATATTCAGGAGACAGAGTTAAGGGAAAATGAGAGAAAAGTGGTTTGGAAAGGAATAAGTGTGACAAAACAAAGGGATAAGAGGATAAAAGTGAATGATCAAGTGGAAACAGGGCTGGTGGTTGTGTTTGGCTGCCCATGCCCCGCACTGCTGAGCACAGTCCTACCTTCTATCAAACCCCATTTCTAACTGTGCTCTTGAATGAGGGGCTTTCTATTCTGCATACATGTGTGTAAGGACTGCCTTTGACCTCGTTGCTCATTCTTGTCTCATGAGGAGGGCAAAGCTTCCGTCAGCTTCTCAGCAGATGGCCTTTCTTCACATCTTTAAACACTAAGTCTTCCAAAATCTTTAGAAAGTCCTTTTAAAATTCCTTTCAAATATAACAATAAAATGTATGCTTTAAGTGTAAACTGTAAAAGGAAAGGAATAGTATGGGTAAATTGCATGTATATGGTGCTCTATTCGGAAGAATTTCTTTCCCCCCGGCGCAGCTCCGCGAGGCGCCGCCAGGAGGCGCCATTGTCCCTCGAAGCGCACAGCGGGCAGGGAGCTCCGGTTGCCCTGGAGGCGGCGCGGCCCTGGGAGCGGCCTGGGCGCTGACAGAGCTCGTAGGGCCGGGAGCGGCGGGGCGAGGGGCAACAGCGTTGTGTGGGTGCTGCCGAGACAAGGGTGGCGGCTGGGTGCCCGGGCCGGGGTGGAGGGGGGGTCGTTTAGGCCTTGGAGTTGGTGATGTGGATTTGGGTGTGGGTGGTGGCAGTGTAGGGGGGCACTAAGCAGGGCGCTGGGGGTATGGTTGGGCAGCGGGTGATCAGAGGCGTTGGGGGACGGTGTGGAGGGGCACTTTGGAGCACAGATCTTATGAGGGGCAACTGGAACTGGGATTGTTCAGTCTGGAGAAGAGGAGGCTCTCTACGAGTCCCTGAATGGAAGCTGGGGGGGGGGAGGGTCGGCCTCTGTTCCCAGGTAACAGAAATTGATTGAGGGGGAATAGCCTCAAGTTGTGCCAGGAGAGGTCCAGGTTGGTTATTAGGAAAAAATTCATCACAGAAAGAGTGATAATGCATTGGCACAGGATGCCCAGGGAGTTGGTGGAGTCGCTGTCCTGCAGTGCATTAAAGCCTGCAGGCATTAAAGAACTTTGTAGATGTGGCTTTGAGGACATGGTTTAGTCGGCATGGGGGGGCTACAGTTTGTCTAGACGATCTTAGAGGTCTTTTTCAACCTTAATGTTTCTATGAATCTGTATGTGTATGGCAGGCAGTGCAGTCTGGTTACTGGGGGCAAGTTGGCTCAGGCCTCCATTAGGATGCCTGGTGATGCAGGGGCTGGCAGGGAGTGCACACAGAACACAGTAAGGGACTGAGAGCACAAGGAATTGTTTGTGTGGTTTGGAGATTGGAGAGGGTATGACAGTGATAATTGTTCATGGAGACTGCTGGTAAAGCAAAAAGAAAAAAAATCCAAGGGATGGAACGCATCCCCTACAGGTGTAGGCTGAGAGAGCTGGGGTTGTTGAGCCTGGAGAAGAGAATGCTCTGGGGAGACCTGAGAGTGGCCTTTCAGTATCTGAAGGGGGGCTATAAGAAGGAAGTGGGTACGCTCTTCAGAAGAGTCTGTTGTAGCAGGACAAGGGGAAATAGTTTCAAACTAAAAGAGAGGAGATCTAGACTGGGTATAAGGAAAAAGTTTTTTGCAGTAGGGTGGTGAGGTACTGAAACAGGTTACCCAGTTAATTGATTGCCCCATCCTTGGATGCAATCAAGGGCAGACTGTGTGGGGCTCTGGGCAACCTTATTGAGCTGTTCATTGCAGGGAAGTTGAACCTGATGACCTTTACAGGTCCCTTCTATCTCAAATGATTCTATGATAAGTCTGTGTCACTGGTAGGGCTACCATATAGGTGATCACTGCAGTATCTGGAAGTCACAGTGCCTGGGCTGGAATATATGGGAGTTGCTTGATTCTAAGAATAAAGTGGCAGTATTAGTCATTAATTGAAAATGCATTGGTAATGATAGTGGGATTCTGTTAGGAGTTCAGCCTTATGATTAACTTGTTTGAGAGGAGAAAAATAGATTTTATCCTCTGCAAATGGTTTCCTGCAGGTTTAATATGTTCTCAATCCCTAAATATGTTTCCTTATCTCTTCTGTGTGTGTTTTCTCTTGTTTGCAAAACAGAGGAAATCTGTCATTGCAGTATGCTGTTTACCTTACTGTACAGCTTGGAGGCTTGTTTGCTGCACCCTGCACAGGAGGAAGTTCACAAATATATCATTAGATCTCACCTGAGACTTGAGTTTCAAAAAACGAGCCCTCGGAAAATACTGCTGCTTAAAATGTTTCAGTTTGTATCCAAATTTAAGGAGGAAAATTGATTATCCGTTTAGTAGAAGAGATCATTTTAAACAGAGATCAATTACAAAAAAGAAGTTAAAAACTGCTACAGCGATCTTCAGTTTCTGAGGAAAACCAGCAAACTGAGTGCTGGAAGTGGAATCAATACCACTCAGTTAATTCTGCACTGGAGAGGATGGCAGGTTCTTTTTTGTATGTAAAAATAGATCCTGTACTTGTGGATTTGATCTGGAGTGAAGTACCTCACTCTGTCTCATTGCCATTTTTTTCCTTAATTCACTTGGTCTCCTTAACACTCAGAGTGTTCACAATTTTTAAAGCTTTCATAGAAAGTATTGTATTAAGTAAATGGAAGCTTGATGTGAATTAGTATCTGTAAAGATTACACGTGAGTATTACAGAATTATAAGGCATCAGACTCGAGCAGCTGCTCACTTAGAGCAGGATTTTTTATTGGATGGATAATGTTAATAAGTTTTACAGCAGTCACGGTGATGCTGTCACACAGGCATGATTGTAATGAGACTTAACAACAGAAACATTTTACTCACCTGTAGCAACCGTTAAAACTGACCTGGAACTCTTTAGGAGTTTCAAGGTGCAGCTGGCAGGGGTTAGAATTTTCCACATTTCTGTGAGTGGAATTGGCTCTGTTTGTGACTTCAGTATTTGACTGTTGCAAAGACTTTGATTGACAGCTTTAGGCAATTGACTCCAAGAGTCCATGTTTTCAGCAGCAGAGCAGACAGGATCTGTACAACTAGTTTTCCAATAGACTGGGGGTAAATTTCTGGATAAAACATGAAGATATTCCAAGCTCTAAGGAGCTCCAAGGTTGACCAAGGTGTGGCTATGCTTCCTCTCACCTTGCAGAGTGAGCATTTTTTTACCTGCCTTTCTGCAGCAGAGTGGCTGTTCTCAGCACATTCACTTGTTTCATCACCAGGCATCATGCGCTCATCCAGGGTAAAAAGTAATTTTGGTTACAGAAAGTTGACATTGCCTTGCTTCAGGGTAGGGTGAAAGATCAAGAAGGCATCTGCCAGTGTGTGGATTAGAGCGCATGTGTCAATAGTTGGGTTCCATTCCCTTGAATTTTGGTCAATTTGGTTACTATGTTGCTTTCCATTATTTGTTGCCCCCCTTTACTGTCCTCGTTTTAACAGGAAGAGCACCCAGCCTGCTGCACGTTTAGTCACAGAACTGCTTTGTTGCAAACTTAGCTATTAGAGTGATAAATGGGCGTTCAGAAGTTGAACAGAAAAACAAGCTGAAGATGGAAACAGGTTGTGTACTGTGTTTTTAATCACCAAGTTTAAAACTTCCTTTGATATTTAAAGTATTTGACATTTGATGATGTGGCTACCAAAAGTGAGCAATCTTCCTTCATAAGTGCTATTTTTTTGTGACTATTTTATTTTAAATAATATATGCTACCAGTTTCATTACAGAACTGTTGTCAGTTGAATTCTGAGGCTGGTAGCTGTGTCAACATGCCCGGGGAATACTGCTGACACAGATAGCCCTTCAGAGAGTGGTTTTGTTCCAGCTTTGACAATGAAAACTGATATCAGAGTTGCAGTGAATGGCAAATATTCATAGTGCTAGGAGAACAGAAGGAGAAGGAAAGAGATGCATATTAACAAGCGAACTTGATAATAAAACAAGCCTGACAAACAAACAAAGGACTGTAAGAAGAACAACTGCTTGTTTGATTTGCAAAAAATGTAAAGCAACCCACAGTAATGGATGCAAGAAGTAACTAGTGATAGAGGGCCCTGCTCACAGACATATATTTATTCAGGACAACACTTCAGGGTGTCAGAACGTGGCCCTGAGTCCTGCCATGGGTTACTGCTGTCAGTAGAGCACCTCATTTGTATCAGAGCTGTTACAAACTTGTTATAAGTGACAAAGTCTGGTGAATGTATCATGATTTGAGGATTATTCATTCCTCATTTTGTTCTTCCTTTCTGCTTTGCCCTCTCCTTTTTAGATCTAATATCCAGCAGAAGTACATCAAAAAGCATGGAAGAGAAGAAGGTGAAACAAGAAGAGCAAAGTGCAGAAGAATCAGCTTTCCTGGAAGCCCTGCTAGAATTTCAGTGAGTTTAATATATTTATCTTTTCACTCACCTAGAGTAGATGAGTGAGTATATGAGTGAATAAAGCAGACAGCAAAGTATCCAATTCAGAGCCTGAACCAAACCATATGGAGGGTTGTGATTGCACACCATTCTTTTGTGCTCTTGTTTTGAGCTTTCAAGGCTATTTTAGAAATACACACTTTTTAAACTGTACCTCTACAAAATCTTCTCTGACTGCCAGAAAAAAGTTTATGTCATTAGGTTGTAACTTAGGACAATTAGTTTTATTAGACAGTAAAAACTTTTTTGTCTGCTAATAGCAGATATTTGATCTGCTTGCTCTGAGATCACAAGATCACATTTGATTGTAATTTCCAGAATTCCCCGGTGTTCACAGAGGTAAACAGCCAGAACCTCGAGCTCCAGTTGGTTCTGTTAGTGCAGCTGAGAGTGGAACACAAAGGAAAGTGATATAACCTACATCCAATAGTTTCTCAGTTAAAAATTCTGGCCTTAAAGAGTAGCAGAGGTTGGGCAAAGCAAAGAACAACCATATGCTGCTGTTGTGGTGACACCTGCAGGAGTTTACAGGGTTGATGTGGAATTTTCCATTTGAATTTACAAATAACAGAGTGCAGATTTCCATAGTGAAACAGACCAAGGTTAGCAGAGCTGTATCACAAATAAATACTATCCAGAAAGAAAACAAATAAATCTATTTTGCTAAGAAATAAGCACAGTATAGTAGTAGACTGAAGGGAAAAATAGGTTTCTGATAAATTTGTTGTTGTGCATATTTGGACATCAAAGCAAACAACTCAACAACAATCTGAAGTCTTCCACTGAAATGTGTGCTGTGCAGGCACACCATCTTTAGCTTCTAAAGCAGTAGTAGAGGAAAAGAGGAAGAAAGTTTTCATCCTGTTTCTTTCCTCCCTCTCCTCTTTTGTTCTCTTTCTCTCTCTTATTCCTTCACTGTCTCTGAAATTTATAATTTGTCTGTGCCACTTTATTGTGGAAAGCAGTGTAATAATACAAGTGTATTTCTTTCACATTCCTCTTTGTGACTTTGCCACCACATCGTGTGTATTTAGCTTTCTTTCCAGCTTCATTTGCACACTGAAGGATGACTGCTGTTCGTAGTGAGTTTGTTATTTAGGAGGCCACAGCACGGAGCCAAGCTGTCACCTTTGTCTAATAAGTAATACATTATGAGACCATCAAGTCTCATATCTTTGTGCCTACTGGAAAACTTGAGAATACTGTGGAGCACTCTGACAGAAGAGCATATAAATCTACACAAGAAGAGCATATAAATCTACACATCTCCAATGTACATTTCTCAATTCCTGTGTGATCCAAACTTAGGAAAAAAAAAAAAAAAAGTCATCTTCTTTTAAAAAAACGTATTAATATGATAGTTTGAGATTTATCTGGCCTACCTCTGAAAGAACTGCCTAGGCTTCTTCTACAGTGAGTGGTGAGTAAAAAATATTTCTGGAGCAGAAACTGTCTTGTCTTAAAAGCAATCTTTGCAAAAAGGTCAGCTAATCCACAGCCCAAAAGGAGAAGAACTTCTTCCTATCTGGTAGCCACTGGAGTAGCCAAAGGAACATTTTAGCCAGGGAGTCCCTTTCTCAGAATGAGCAAGAGATCCAGACTGATGTGAAGGTCCACATCCATGTGGGAAATCTTTTGTTTTCTGTGCAGTGAGCAGACATCAGTATTTACCTGAATTATTGAATCAGTGTGATACAAAAGAAATACGTGTAAGTGGAGTTTGTGTCTAATCTAGCTTAACATTCCCTTCTCTCCTCTTTTTGTAAGGATTTCTTTCTTTACTCTTTCTCTTCAGAATTGAAAGAAAAGAAGCAGCAATTGATAAGGTTTTGTTTGATTTGAAACAAGTGGAAAAAAAGAACAAAGAATACAATGAAAGAGTAAGTGACCATACATCTTTTTCTTATCACATTTTTTTCTCCTGACACATTTCACACATGGTATTTTAACTCACACATTCAGTTTTATTTTTTAAATCTAAATATTACATTTGCTACAAGAAGCCATTGCAGCGAATCTCTTGCAGTCAATGAAAGTGAAGTTAATGAATCTCTTTATATGCTCAGGAGTTATAAAGCATAGCTGTCCTAAATGCAACCATGCAAAAAAAAAAAAAAAAAAAGAGCTGCAGGAGTAGAGATGCCAATTTGGACACAGGAATAAATTAAAGTGAGTTCAATGAAGGTGATTTTCAGTGCAAGTGAGATCCTCATTAATTCACTAAGTATTTATCCTGAGTGACGCTTAGACACAGCAGTCCAATATGGCATCTGAGAACTGAGAGCAGCGAGCTCTGAAGGTAGGTATATCTACATTCACCACACGAAAGGAATTGAAATCTCTCAAAAGTCCTTAAACTTCCCATAGCAGTGAAACATTGACACAAACGTTCTCTGTTCTTCCAATGCCTGCTATTCCCACTGACTTTTAAAATACCTATTTCGTTTTCCTTGGTGTTCCTTTCAGTCTTGAAACCTGGGTTGTATATTTCTTGTGTAACACGAATCCTTCACTATCAGTGGGAGTGGATTTAGCTCTTTTCTCTGCAGACATTTGTAGGCTCCTGTGGTTATTCACTCAACTTGCAGCTAGTTCATGGTCTCTCAAGGACTTCTTCAAACTTTAGACTGTACAAGACACTTCAGGGCATGCTTGAAGTGCTATTTATTGAGCTCTTTGGGCTCCCATCTTACTGCTTTTGACTGGTTCAGAGTTAATCCTTTCAGAAGTGGGGAATGTTTGAGACTCTCTACTGCATTGTAATTGGTTTGGCTGTTACGATTGTTTGCTCCTTTATGCTGTCCTTTGGGAGAAAATATACAGTCAACAATTTCAAATACTTTTAGTGTCTCTTGACAGGGTCATGGTCAAGAGGATGTAATCACAGTTGTGGAATCTGCATGTAGGACTCCAACTCTAGCTCAGATAAGACTCTTGTGATTACATGCAAGTAACTCGATTGTCTGATGATGTTTCTACACGAAGGCATTAAATTCTCATTAAGAATATTGAAGTAATTAACTCATGCATATAAACTGTTATTAAATTGATCCACAAAAAGCTTTCTTTCTAGGCAATGGAGGACTATTCATGTGCAGCACCAAGTATATTCAGGCAGCCATTTGTTTCTCATTTCCTTGGGGTAGACATCTTCAAATCAGAGAAACTTCTGAAACTTGCAGATTCTCCCCTCTGTACTTGACAAACAAGAAGAATACATTTTTGCTGAGCGCTCTTGCAGTCCATCCTGCACTGGTACAGGTCCAACATTTCTTCACTGCTTTACCTGGTAACTTTGAAAGCAAATTTGAAAACATTTCTACATACGTCTTTCCAACTCCTGTAGAATGACAACCTGAAGGAGGAACAGCAGGCACACATCAGGCGTATACTAAGAAGAATAGAGGAAAAGGAGCAAGAAAAAGATGCAAAGGAGGTTGTAACTAGGGATGATGTGGAAGAATCACTGAAAGACAAATGGCAATATGCCAAGGACAAAGAGCAAATTCTAAAAGGTAAATTATGAGTTGTGGAAGAGTGGTTTGCAGTTTACACTATCGGAATTACACAGATTTTGCATTTTAAATAGATTCTGTTAATAAATAGCTTTTAACCTTTCCTCCCTAAAATTCAATTGTGAAGGACTTGTAAGAAAATCTGCTCATTAACCTGAATTAAGAATCAATGGGAGTGAGTCTTTTGTAGAAACAAACCTAGTATGTTAGACTTCTTGTGAGGTGTGTTACTGTGCAAGCACAGACACTTCATATTTTCCATTAAATTGAAATTCATGAAAGCCCTTTGCACTGGCTCCACTGGAAGACTGAAAAATGAATATTGATGGCAGCAAGAAGGACTGCTTGTGGTTGCTGAAAGATGTGGTTGCCATCCCTGTGATTCTCAGTGGGAGTGAAGTCAGATGTGTCTTCAGTTATACTTCAGTGAGAATTGTTGTCTCCTTGGCAGAAGAGGATCAGTGTTTTTTCAGCAGTGATGCTGGCCCTTGGTGCTATGTGAGACCATCATGTTATAAAGAGCTGTAATGTAGAAGAATCTCCCCCCTATTTCCCAGTCCCAGTGAAAGTGCCTTCATTAAAGAAATCAATGAAGTCAAAAGAATTACAGAATATCAGCTCAAGAAACTGGTGATGAACTTGTCTTCCACTGTTCTTATTTTTATAGACCTGCTCTTCCAAACAGAAGAAACTGACCAACGACTTTCAGTAAGGCAGAGTGAGAGGGATTATTGGTTGGACTACAAAAATGTAGGAAGTAGGATGGATGCCAACAAGATTAAGAATCTGAAAAGAGACATCAAGGAAGTCAAAAATGACTTTGAGAGGTCTTCAGGTCAGTTTACACCTAGTGTAATGAAAACCTTCTAAATTCTTTGTGTATTACTTGCATGAACTAATTAGATTATGATTGAAATTCAGGACTGGAGGGAGCTGTACGGGCAGTGGTTTGAGCTGTGCCTCCATTTGCTAATCTCATGCTGAGGCCAAACTGCCAGCAGACATACACAAATCCTGGCAACTGTTTCAATATTGACACAACAGTGCAATTATTTAAGAGCTTGTATATTCTAGTGCTGAGTGCTTTATAAAGCCGTTAGATTTTTTTATTACTGCTCTATTTTAAAATCATTTAAATATTTTGCTGGTGTGTAACCCATGCTGCTAACAGGAGAAGGATGTCCTGATTTTCTTCCTTTATGACCCTCTCAGTATGCATGGCCACAGCCAACAGCTGCTAGTAACAGGCAGTGACACTCTAACAGTCTGTATATTCTGTGCCAACCATTACCAGGCATCAGCTACTGGGGACAAGAGCCAGCCTGCTATCTTTTTGTCTCTTGAGACATATTTTACCACGATTAAGATCTGCATTATGTTTTCTGCATTGCCAAATAGCTTCTCAGAGATCAAGGTTTGTATTCAAGGAGAGGCTGATATTTTTTGTGTGTTTTCCCTCTTCTCAGTCAAATGAAAACTTTGCTGTACAGCTGCTGATATATGAAATGAAAAAGAGAATAGGCTCTTATATAGAATGCCAAAATGAACCCATAGGAACATTCAGTCTGGCCTCCTGCATATCACAGGATATAGAGCCAAAAACTCCTGACTGAACAGAAATATTTATTGAGGGACTGTGACAGAGATACGTATAGCAGTTGCCTAATTAGCATACAGAAAAATGATGCTGTAATGAATGTTAGCATACTGTTTTACTCAGCTTCCAAAAATCAAATATGTGTTTGATGGGGAGTACTGTTTCCTAGCCTACAAAAAATACAGCTAGCAAGCATCCACTGTGATGCTGCAGCAAATCGGGCTTGTTCAATTCTCAAATCTGTAGCAGGCTTAGGGTATAAATATAGGTAGAGTGCTTTCTGCCTCTGTAGTTACCTCTGCAGGGCCTGACACTGGCATCATTCATGTGGTCTGGAGATGGCATTGTAAAGAGAATTACTGGAGGGCAGAGGAAGCAAAAGAAAGCCTTACACTTACATGAGGTCTGGAGGAAAAAATCTTACAGTGAGGCATGGGGGAAATAGGCTCCACAGAAGGAGTGAGTGTGTCTGAGCAATTCCTCCTCTTACTGTCCCAAAGCATCTCAGATTGTTCACATGTCTGAAACAATGAAAAGGTGATTCAAATATTGCATGTAAGTACTTCTAGTTCTTCCTGCCAAGTCCAGGTGGTGGATTGATTACAGCAGACAGCTTCCACAGTGTTAAATTAGGAACTAATGCACAACTAATGCACCTTTCCTATTTGACTGCTTTTGGTTTCACAATGGGTCCATGTCCAGACACACTGAAAGCCAAGTCAGCAGTAAGTGGAGTGTCTGCAACACAAGCACAGAGCTAGGCAGAATTTTAAGCTTCTGGAACAAAGGTGAAATGCCTTTCTTCAAACAAATTTGCTGCAATCTCATTAATTCTTCCACAAGCAGAAAAAACAAAGCAGCAGGGGGCTATTTAGAATAGCACAAAAACAACTGAAGGGAAGGACCAAATAATTAAACAGGAGGTATCTAGAACTCAGAGTCAAACAAATTCCATTCAGTGTAAGACATTCTAAATAAGGAGCACAAGTAATGATGAGAGCAAATATTTGAGGCAATTGCTACATTCCCTTTTTTTTTTTCTTTTGTCAAATTAGAACCCCCTGGAAGACATGGGTAGGTCAGAAGATTTATTAGGCTCTGGAGGATGGTAACTGAAAAAAAATGCTGCACTAATCCAAGTGTGTGAGATGACCTGCTGTGCTTCTATATGTAAAAACTAAGTTTTCTCAAGATGTCCTGTGGGTCATTCCAGGAGCTCTGCTATCGAGAGAGAAAATTTAACATTAAGATTAAAAATATCTTACTAGAGAATTACTCGGTTTAGGAGCTGCTGCTGTTGCCAACAGAGAAGTGCAAGCTACTTCAGCTTTCTAGCTTTGTGCTTAATACTGCTCTTTGGATTTGGAAGGATGTCTTCTATGGACAAGTCAGCTGCTCCACAGTATGGGATTCAACACGTGTGTTGGCTGATAAGTTCCTGTTTAGGAACAACATTGTTGTCAGGTTATGATTTCTGGTTTTCTTTCTTGCTTTGAAGAATATTACAGAAATGCTCTGAAAGCAGTGAAAGAAGAGAATGCTACTCTGGTTGAGATGTACATGAAGAAAAATAAGGAACAGGCCCCAGAGGTATTCCTTCCTTTTTTTTCCCAAAATGCTAAATGTGTTATAGTTCTAATTTATGCACTCTGCATAAGTTATTATTTCAATTGGAATTAAGATGTGGAACTTTTCTGACAAATTGAGAGCAAAATGACCTGTTAGTGCTCTTACTGCATATGGCATTGCTTGTTGTCACACCCGTGTACCATATTTACATCAAACAACGAGCAGCTCTGAGGGCATCTTACAAGAGCAGGTATGGGAAACCAGAGCACGAGGCACAGGTATTACTTGTTCATGAACACATTGCTTCTGCTTGCAGAGACACCAAAAAACATGCAGTGTGAGAAGCCAGTCCTGTGTGCTTGTGGTGAGGTACAGCAGCACCAGCCCTCCCTGTTGTTTCTTTCCTCTTACTGACATCAATAATTCAGTCGTACCAGTGGCTCGTTAGCACAGATCTCTACACGTTTATGTCACTTGTCAGATTAGTGCTGTCTCAGCTGTTATTTTACTTGTCTTGTTGTAACAGCCAAAGGTTTGACAGCTTGAAAACAGGAAGTCTTGAGCAGTAGTGGGAACTGGGCAGAAATTGATGGAGAAAAAAGAAATTCTCCTAATTCAAATATAGAAAACTATAAAATATTAGTAAATTGCTTGTCATGTAAACAGGGCTGGATGATGGAGAAGAAACAGCTGGCCTTGTGGGCTAAATCTGCTTGTAATCCCTCAGGGGATGTTACAGCCTGTTGTGATGATGTTTCTTAATTATTTCCTGCTGAACAGCAGAAGGTTCTTTTTACTGTACAGCGCTGTCAAAGTCCTGCCTTCAGAGGAGATGATATTAAATTGTGTTTTCTCAGAACGCTGTAAGATACTTAGACAAAAGCAGCTGCAGAGAAATTGAAGAGAATGAGTGGCTAAAGGAAGAGGTAAGAGGATCACTTGTTTTCAGTCTATCAGAGCAGCTCAGGTTTGAAATACAGAGGCGTACAATGGTAATTGTGTCCAGGGACACAAATACTCTGAGCACTTTTAGAGCACGGAAAAAAAAACACTTTGGAAAAAGGGCCTTCAGGCAGCTCTAAATGGGAGGTAATAAAGAAACCCTGGAGCTGAGGACCCTGAGGAGAGGAAGATGCAAATTGCACATAGCTATAGTTTATTACTTGGTACTTTTATACTGTTCTTTCATGGCAATTTAGAGCTACATATTAGATATATGTAACTTTTATTGTCAAGGAAAATCTTTTTGTAAGCCAAATTCATGACACTGATTTTTCCGCGGTGAAAGTTTGATTGTGTTTGTTCCAGTGCAGATTCCTCACTGCGGTCAAAACCAAAGCAAGAGATTGGAGGGAGGAAATGCCCTTTCCCATTTTTGCAACTCACAGTTTATTTAGAGTGGAGAAAAACTTGTTTGGAACTTAATGAGTGAACTTATTCTTTTTCAGTACCAAATCAACAAATCTGGCAGGGGTTCTCCTTTTTACCTGCTGGCTTAAGGCACTGGCCAATATGCAAGGACACGGGCTTCCTTCTTCGAATTAACAAGCTCTGAGCTCACACCTTTAGCTTTCCAAGGAGGGTGTCCAAGCCACAGTCTTTGTGGCAATGAGGTAGTTGTCAGCAGAAGGGAATGAATGTTTTAATCTGTATAAGCAAACGGGAGCTTGAATTTATGTTCCACCACTGACTGAGCATGTACTGCTGGAGAATTCCATTCCCTTTTCTCTGTCTCACAAATTTTACACAATATTAGGCAGTGTAACAGCAGAGGTCCACTTCAGAGTGTTCTCCTGTCCTGGCAGGCTCTCTGCTCAGTCTTGAGGGCTGTGGGTTTCTTCCCTCTCAAACAGGAGTTTTCTGTGTTATGAATTATTTTCTTTTGTTCTTGGTTTTCCATGAGTTACTGCTCTGAATTATTGTGGCAAACAGAATGTTTGCCAGTTGCTTTTCCAATCCTTGGAATTCACTCATTCTTTTGCTTTCCCTATACAAATCAAATGTTTTCTTGAAGGCTGATGGCTGTATGTAGGTGGCAGACCCTTTCAGTATTTTCTTTTGGGGATTTAAAACAAAAATTTCAGTTTTGTCAGTGTTCACAATTTAAAAAGGCGGCGTCTTTTTTTTTTTCCTGAACTGAAAAGAGAGTTACCAACACACACATAGCATAGCTGCCTCTAAAGGGGAATGAACTTGGAGAACACGGTCACATTTTTCCATCATTAGTATGTTGCACCAAGCTGACACAAAGCTGTATCACCTCGTTGTGCCAAGCCACATCCTGCTACTGCTTAATGTCCTGCCAGTTTCACCTTTTTTAATTGCTAGAAGAAATGGGAAGTGGCTTTTCACTGCAAATTTGGATGATTATAGCGGTGTGAATTAGGCCTAGGTGAGAAAAGAAGTATTCAGGTTACTAAATCCTGCTTTTATACATGTGCATGCGTGGCTTTGGAGAAGGTATCCACCCCATTAAACACTTTGCTTCCCAGTGAAGGAGGAAAGAAGTTGCTTGGACTTCAGGTAAATTGCGAGAAATTGTGGGAACTGAACAGCTGGTATTCTGCAGTTAATGTAACTTCATTGCAGCATGGAATGATGATTAAACAAAAGGAAGTAGCACCTGGGGTTTAGTCCATACAGTGGCTAACCTGGACAGAAAGCATCACTAATTCTGGGTGAGAAAGTTTTATGTGTGAATGGGAATTGGGAAAGGAATACTTGCTGAGCAAGGGCCTGAATTTCCCTCTGCAAAGAATGCTTTTCTCTCTCCGAGTTCTGTTGTGAAATTGAAAAAAAGAGACAAATCCAAAGTTTGTTTCTCCCAGAAAAATTTGGCCACATGAGAAGGTTCTGCTAGCAGGGTTGCATTGCCCACATGTGTGTCTGCAAAGGGTTCGGATGTAGAAGAACCAGAGACCTTTCTTTTGCCTGAAAATGGGTCCGCACCCAGTGCACAGTGTTGCTGACACAGCTGCTTTCTTCCTAAGCATGTGCTGCTGAGACAGTCTGTACCCTGACTGGAAAGCTTTCCTAGTAACTACCTGAAATTACCTTTCATTGTTTTGTTTTTATTTACTATTATTTAATTGTCTAAAGGTTAAACTGTACCGAAAGGAAGTGAGAGATCTGAAAGCCTCTGTTCAGCTCCTGGAAGAAGAAAATATCAGTTTAGTGAGAAAACTGATGGATAACAAAATTCAGAACCTGAGAGTACCCAGGTAAAATGATGCCTTCAGACTCAGAAGTCATTATCACTTTTTAAAAACAAGGCCTACCTCTATTTGGGCTTTCCAGCAATGAAAGCAATGTAGTTTTTCTAGTTGTGTGGTACCTGGATTTGACTGTGTGTGGGACTTGCATCTCTAAAGGATAACAGTGAACTTGTAACCTTCTAAATACCAAAATTCAGGGAAGAAGCTGAAATATTTGACTATGGCTGGGTCTTTGTAGGTTATTACTTTCTCCTAATGGAGGTACAGTTAGGGCTTGAAATAGTTTCTTTCTGTTGTCACTGTCTCTGACCGGGTTCTCAGACCAAGTGCAAGTGATGGCTTTTTCTTTTATTGCTGGTAAAATGTTAAAGGATTAATATGCAAGTATGTGAGGCTTTGCAATCTTGCAAAGTGAAACAGATTGCAAGAAGCACTGGGCAGCAGTAAGGAAGAAGCCTTGGAGTGAGTTTCTCTACAGATGTGTCTGTAGTATTACTTTCCTTTATACTTAAACCACTGACCTTGTTCCCTACGGAGCAATGAACTTACCCTCAAAATGTCCTTGCTAATGGTATGCAAAGCACAGTGTGATAACAGGAATGGCCCCTCTTCATTTTCTACTCCCAGCTCAGGAATTTCAGTCCTACTGCACAAAAAAGTTCGACGTCTTAAGTCAGAAGTGAACATTTTTCTCTCCTCTCAACTCTGAACTGCTTTTAAGAAGGAGCTGCCAGCTGCGGTTCCAGTCTTGGACTGACTGGAGACTGTAACATTTGTTTTCTTTTAGTCTCATGGACACAGCTGAAGCTAAAGCACTGAGAACAAACAATGAGTAGCATTAGCTGCTAAGCTACCTGGCTGCCTCCATTGCATTTTTAAGCCATTGCGCTGTTCTGCATTTGTGCTTGATCAGAAAGGGCACTGTCCTCTCACCCCAAGGCACTGCACCAAGGGATTTAGAGAGAATTCAGACTTCTAATGTGCGTTTCACTTTTTTTTTTTTCCCCTTTTACTTTCATAGGCGTTTATTTCTTACTCAGGCAGCTGGCTTGCAAGATGAATCTCTCCAGGATGAAAGTAAAGCAGTAGAGCATAGAGAGTATTCAGGTAACACACATGCCAGCAGCTTATAAGAACTGATAAGTCACTGGACATTTAAAAGCTTATTTCTTATGGCTTCTCCAAACTGCCTGTAATTTCCCACTTAAATGAATCCACCACAGTAATGATAAAATGTAGCTTGGATTAGGAAGAGACAACACAATCGGTAACATAGTTCTAAAACTGAAATCAGTGTTTAGACTGTTGAATGTCATTACTCATAGAGCTAGCCAGGAGCTTGGCTAATGGAATCAGCCATCTTTTACAAAGATGTGGTTCATATCTTAATCAGCTCTTTACTGATCCATATCGTCGTAACTTCATTATCGTATCTCGTCCTGGGGAGGACACACTGCTTTCACGTGATGCCCACATGCACCTTGCACTCATTCAGCTCATGGAGTTATTGGAAACTATTCCCTAGCAAGAGCAGGTGAAGCTGCACAGAGCTCAGCCTGACCTTCAAATCTTGGTAAGATGTATCGGGCTCGGAGCTGGCTGGTAGGTGTGGATTAGATGCCTGTTTGCTGTGACAGGCTCAGTGCTGCTACCTGTGCTGTATGCTCACAGTACTTGGTGGAGGAGCTGGGATCATGTCACTGTCACAGACCTACATGTCATTTGTCATTCCGTGTCAAGAACTGTCATCCTGAGAGTTGGTCAGCTGCAAATCTGAGCTATGAAGGGAAATTGTAAGAATAGCTGTGCATCAGGAACATATGGAGATGCATACAGAGAAGTAACTATTTCTGCTGTATTTCCTATTTTCTAAGTATTTGTGGCTATAGCTGTTTATTACATCACACTGTCAAGCCACATTAAAGATTATAAGCAGTGCTGCTACTGACAACTAATTGTGATCTTCATGAAGTTTTAACAGCTACACACATCATTTTTGTCTTCAAAAAAGCAAAGACTGATGGAGAGGAAAGCCTCGGGAGATACACAGTCTCCTGTCAGAAAAAGAAGTCCTTTCCAAAGATTCAGTGTGAAACAGAGATTGAGAAATCACGGGACCGTGATGAAGAGCTGCAGGAAATGTCATTGACTCCCATTCTTAATAGCTTGTTTGAAGTTGAAAGAGATTTCCAGGTATGAGTTCAAGTATTTGAGTCTTTACTGCCACAGTGTATTTCAGGGTGGAGCACTGGCTTCTGCCACTGCAGGGTTCCTTCTTCCTTCTCTCTGACCTTGGCTCTGTGGTCCTGTTCCTGCATCTGGGCAATTCTGGTGCACATCAGCCTTTTCTACAGCTGATTCACTCACTAACCCAGTAGAAAAGCCTATTTTTTTTTATCTCCTCGAGTATTTTCTGTTGTGTTACTCAACCACACTGACTCAGAGGTCTGGAGAAGACCAGAGCCAGAATAAATGTGGTGGAAGCACACAGCTGGATTCGGACCTCTTGCCTCTGGCAGTAACGAGCTGTTGGATTAGTTTAACCCTTCTTACAGAACTAAGTGTGGGAGCACAGTTTGGTCTGCAGAGAAAGTTATTGTTGAAAACCTGCAGGAAAACTGGGCAGCAGGGCTGCAATCTCCTAAGGTTAACTGCCTTGTAGCTTCATCCATCAACACTGAAATTACTGAACACAACGACCCCAGGACAACGCCTTGACAGTTGATTTTCATAGGAAACATGCTACTTATCTGAAAAACTGTCTCTTCTAAATATAATGTAATTGCAAAATAATAATATTCTTTCTTCTTAAGGAATACTTAAAATTGGGTCCTCTGGTATCAAAACCAATCTGTGTGGTTGGAAGAGCCATGCCTATTCATAAAGAGCCAGAAGAAACACCAAGCAAGAGCCCCCCAGAAGGTGACTACATTGGTGGATCTGACAGGCACATCACACCTCAGATGATCAAGGCCTTATCTGAAGAAGAGCTTGGTTAAAAAAAAACAAGCTGGGTTGTTAACACAGAAATGTAACATTCTTGATTCATTAAAGATTTGCTCTGTCCTTCAAGGAATGAATGCACTTTGTGGAACTATTTTTGAAAGCCTGAATCATCTACATATTGAAGTTTAATTCGAGGCACGTGGAGAGCTGCTTTCCTTAGATACAGAGGAGAGTCCTGTGCATGCCCTGGGCTTCTCAATCCAAGCAGCTGCAGGCGTAGCTAAGAAATGATCTGAGTTACTACTTAGCTTTCGTGGCCCCTGCTTGCAGCCTGTCAAATGTGGGATGCACCCTGAGCAGACACTGAATGCAGATTGCCATCAAATATAGGACGTATAATACTTTGCTAAATGAGAATCCAGGTTAGCCAAGCACAATTCAAATATTGTTAGAAATGGAATGTTTGAATCATTTTATCTGTCTGTATCAAAAATTCTACTTAACCATCTTACAATTATTGACAATTAATTAAAAAATTTTGAAAAACAGCATAAAATCATTTTCTTTTAATTAGCCAAGTTCATTGTGCAAGCGTTCATCTTTGTTGTGTGCCTGGTGTTTGTTAAATGTATCTTGGCACACTGATTCACTGAATTTTTCCCTGTTCTGTGTGTCCTGGACACGATGCACTGACTTCCCCACAGGGCAAACAGCATTGCAGTGCCTCACTTTAATCCCGTGCTTCAGTGCAACCATTTTTCATCCTTTCCTTTACACCCAGCAGGTGTCTCCTTGAGCCGAAGGTGCTTGGAACTGACTACCAGCTCCTCAGAAACCTGGCTCTCAAAGAAGCACAGAAACACAGGAGCCTTCATTCATCTCAGGCTGAATCTCCCTCGGGTTGCAGAGTGAACACGTAGATGAGTTTGGACGCCTCTGCTGTAACCAAGTTACTGCAAAGACTGAGGTGACCCCTAATATTCATGTAGCCAGAGAACGTGGATCCATGCTTGCAAGGTGCTCATGTTTCCAGCCCAACAGAAGGCTCCCTTTGGCTGCAGAGGTTTTCTTTGATTGAAGTGCAAGCTGTAGGAGACAGCTTACTTGAAAGAGAGATTAGTTCTGCTCAGTGGTTAGTCTGGCTTTTCATTCCGTCACGGAATTAGAATATGGCTTATGTTGAACAGCTTTGCTGTTAAAGAAAGGCCTTGCCTTCTTCCCACCGCTCCCCAGAGGGCATTTACATTAATGCAGGGCTCACCTCTGTGCTTCTGTCCATAATCCACTGCACTGTGCAAGACAACATCAAGTTGTACCTCAGGAAAAATAACTTTGCATCTTGAAATCACTGCTTAGGTTTTAACCGTAAGTGCCTGTGTGGGTGAGAGGGAGCTAAAAAGAAATCTGAAACATGTTAATTAGGGCATAAACCACAAGCAGCCTGCAAAGCCAGATGCAAGCATCTTCAGTGAAGTGTCTCACATTCCCTTGATTTCTATAGGCTTTGCATTTAAAGCCTGTGAGGCTTTTCCATAGGAAACAGCTCGGCTTTTAGCAAAAGAGCATTTACAGATCATTGAGTGAGATCATACAGCAGGTCAGGACAGCCAGGGGATGAGGCCCAGCCAGCATGGGTGCATGCAAGGGTGCAGGCAGGACCTGCCCACCCTGATCGCCTTCTGGGATCAGGTGATTCAACTGGCAGATGAGGAAAAGGTGTCAACATTGTCTACCCAGACTTCAGCAAAGCCTTTGACTCTGTGTCACACAGTATTCTGCTGGAGAAGGTGGCAACCCCAGGGCTTGGGCTGCTGTGCTCTTTGCTGGGTAAAGAACTGCCTGAAGGGCTGGGCCCCAACGGTGAACAGAGTTACAGCCAGCTGGTGAACCCCAGGTGTCAGTGCTGAGGCCTGTCCTCTTCTTTATTGAGGACCTTGATGAGGGAATTGAGCGTATCCTGGGTAGGTTTGCAGATGACACCGAGCTGGGATGAAATGTTGATCTGCCTGGGTATAAGAAGGGCCTACAGACGGACCTGGGCAGGCTGGATCACTGGGCTGAGGCCAATGGGATGAAGTTCAGTAAGACCAAGTGCTACACTTTGACCACAGCAATCCCAGGCAATGCTACAGGTTTAGGGCAGAATGGCTGGAAAGCTGTGCTGAGAAATGGACCTGGGAGAGTTGATCAACACTTGGTGAACCATGGGCCAGCAGAGATCAGTATCCTTTGGCAGTGTGATCACCTTTAAATTCCCATCATTCAGATAGTTTTTGTTTTACTGTGGTTCTGCTGCCCAAGACAAGCGTAGGATGCTCACTGGGCTACAAGATGCAGAAAAGCATCCACGTGCCCCACAGTGGTAACAAAAGCAAAGCCTCTGTTCAGCTGGACTTGTTTTTAGCTGGCACACAACTAAAAACACAGTGTAGTTTTAACAGGAAAAACCTTTCAAGTGTTCACTGGAAATTCAAAGTTAAGTCAAAGAAACACAGGCACAGCCCAAGCTGCACATGAGCATGTGGTAAATGAGCTGGAGCTAAATCCACTACCTGCCTAAAAAAGCAAAACACAGTGCTGTATACTGCTTACCAGTGTTCATGCTGGGTTGAACCCTCTCTGAGCAACTTCCCTACAGGGGAAAGCAACTGGATTACACAGCTCTGTAGCCTGGCTGTGTAAGCAAGAGCTCTCCCCTGGGTTGTTGGGAGGCTTGCAGCCTTTGATGCAGCGAGGTTATGTAACAGTGATCTCTCTGCAGGTGCAGACCTGCACATATTGAGAAAAGAGGGCAGAGGACTTGCTCTGCAGCACTCTTCTCATTTGTCTGCTTTCTGGGAGAAAGGGCTTTGCACACACTGCTTCTGTGGGCTAAAAGGAGCTTGCCAGAATAAGGTCAAGGCAGAAGCTAACGGACTGAAAAGTTACACTACAGTGACAGGCAAGAGCAACTAATGGCATTAGCATCATAAGCCTCTGATGGTTCAGTGCTGAGTGGTCCTTTGAAGAAGACTTTCCTTTGGGTTTTGAATCCACTGTGCAAGTACAGATGTTTCTTTGTAACTCCGTGTTCCAGAGCTCGTGCTCTGCAGTGTATGTCAGGCACTGCGTTCTGGGACAGCACATGCTGCAGGAGACCAGCAAGTGTTCCTACAGCTGACCCACAAAGCAGCTCCCCTGAGCCCTGGGAAGCTGGGATTCGGCAGGGTGCTCACCTTTTCTTCACTTCTAATGACTGCAGGGCAGCCAGCAGCTGCAATTGTATCCAATCATGCTTTTTGGCAAAAGCAATACTGGAGCAATTGCTGTAGCTGGCATGGGGAAATCCAGCAGACACTCTGTGAATGAAGCAGAGATCTACACCATAAAGATAAAACCTCTGTTCTCATACACTACAACCACAGAACTACAAATATATGCTTGCATTCAACACATTTTCATTGGCATTATCAGCTTCCACAACTTCTAAGGAAGTTGTCTGGCTGTTCCAAGGCTTCCCAATCTTAGCTTCAGGAAATTTCGTCAACAAAGCAGCAAGAAAAACAAGAAATGTGTTATCTAAGTCATAGCCTGATTTGTTACCTTGAGTAAGTCACCTCCCCCAGGTGAAATGAATGGAGCGTTTTCTCAGGCAGGGAGGGTTGGCAGTACAGTACAGCTTCAGAACAGCTGTATGGGGCTCTCCCCTCACTCCTGCCCAAGCCAGGACATCACACATTCCCTTCTAACTCAGCTTTTACACAAGACAACATCAGATGTTTCATCAGGAATTCACAGCATTCCCTCGCTTGGCAAGTTCAGTGGAAGATGTCAGGGCTGTTTCTGCTCTCCCCCTGCAGCATGCAAAAGCTACAAAGGTCAAGTCAGAAGAGTGCCAGCAGACCAAGGAGAAAGCTCTTATTTACATATGATCTTATTAACATTGATTCTTCTGCAGTCAGCACATTTCCCCACTACCCATCACATTATCTTGTCAGCCTCCCGTCCCATCAGCATTTACCATCTCTCACAGTGCTTTTGCACCTCGTTCTCATTTTTTTCTGCCACAATCTTGATCTCAATCACATCACGGCCTTCAAACCGCAATTCATTTACATCTCTCTAACATTTCGACCAGCTCTGAAGACACGTACTTCTCATTCAACAGGAGATGCAGGTTTTCACCAGCTGCTCCTTGCTGAGGTGCTGTTTGGCAGCTAGAAGCCCAGACTGCTTTGAATAGAGCAGCTGATGTCACAGTCACGTACAAGTAGAAGTTTCCTGAGGTACTGCCAGCATCAATTTACTGCATGTGACCAAAAGGGGTGAGAGTGCCAAACCCTGCAGCAGGCTGTTCAGAGGTGGTGGATGCCCCGTGCCTGTCAGTGTTCAAGAGGCATCGGGACAAAGCCTGCAGTAACTCCAGCAACACTGAAAGCAAACATTCATCTCGGCCAAGTTAAATGGGAAAAACAATCAGATCTGTCACTCCAGTTTAGTTGTTCCTGAAGAGTGAACTGTAAGCAACATTTAGTAGCAAAGCCTCCATCAGGAAGGTGCAACCTGGACAGCATCTGTGCTCACTAACAGCCACTATGAGTCACCAGGAAAGGTTAGCAGGACATCATCCCCACAGCAGAGCAAAACCAGCATCATTTCCAACCACGGGTCCACAGCCCCACACGGGATCTCCAGAGGGATCAGAGACCCAAGAACTATGAAAGCAGATCTACCTCAGTCAACAGACCCAACAGAGCAGATGAGAACCACTGTCATCCTCCTCCTGCAATACAGTATGCACATATCAAATACATTTGGTATTTTATTAAGTAAACAATGCAATTATCAGTGCACATTTTCAAGCAGCAAAAGAAAAGCACCTCAGACGTTCATACCGTAACAAAATTCTGTGGAAGCTGCATTTTATTTGAAAATCCACCCATTTTTGCTAACGTACATTTTAATATTTTAAACAAAAATAGAATCTGCAGAGACAATGCAGCAAGTATGCTTAACTCATGTACAGAATTGCTTTCATATCACTGACTATCCTTCTGAAGGCCCCTCTCTACCCAGAAGTTATGATGTATTTACACAAAGCACCGATCAACAGCGCTACTTAAATTCTTCATTAACTAAATTTTAACTCCATGTCTGTCAGGAGGCTGCTTCCCCTTTTTGCTTTGAAAAGGTGTGTGGCAGAAACATGGCACTCTCTAAACGAAAAGGCTTCCCCCCACCCCGACACGCAACACCTCAATTTTTACAGAGAAGGAAAGTCTTAAAGTGAAAGCAATTCCTCACATTCATTTTGGAAAGGCCTTATAATGTCAAATGTAAAAATAATGACATGCCAAGCACAAAGCAAGAAAGTTCCTTCCCAACGCACTAATGCTGAATTAAAAATGTAGTGCTTCTTCTAGTCAGTTAACTGTTCCCTTGCAAAATCCTAGGCACAGAATTGACTATAAGGATTAATGCATTTTACAGCTCCTCCCTAATTCCCATATATGCTGAGAACTCATTAGATTCA